CGAAACAATGAATAAAAGAAAGCTAGAAAAAATCGATATAATTAATTCAAAATGTACTATATATAACATTATTTTAAAGTCATTCTATGCTGAATATCATGTATAAGTGCACTTTTATACCGATATTTTTTACCTTTATTTCCACTAATTGTGAGTTTCTTGTTCTATTACTAGACACTGTGTTGATATCTATTATCTAATTGTAGATATCGAAGTGTTTTTTGTTGGTGCTGTTAAGACGAACGGTCAATGGATTTGGACGACAGGTCAACAGCTAAATCCAGATACACCTGTTAATAACGATAAGCCATCGATCTCGTATTGTCTATGTTATTTCTACGGTGCTCTTGATGATATAGAATGCTATAATTCCGGGTATCCTCTTTGTGAAAAATGATCACACGTTTTATTTGGAACATTGATGTAAGGGATACGTTTCAGGCTGGTACAATGGCGATAGACAATGGAAAGGGAGTGAACCGAGTCCAACTTCCGATGATAATGGATTAATAACTAAGTTTGATCAAGATCATAATACATACATGTGTGTGTACTTGGATTTTTTTTCTTTCACAATAAAGCATTGTTTTATACATCTTTTGGCATTTGAATTGCTGCTAAACGTTGTTTTAGTTCATCTGGCTGCAGGGCATGTAAACCTATGCCGTGACGCGGCATCCATTGTCCATCGGTCCGTGGTCAACTTTCCGCTTTACATGACTCATTCTCAAAACTCAAAATAACAGGGCTCTGATATTCGGACAGTAGCCTACTTGAATGAAAGGCTACCAAGTTTGCACAAATGAATGACTATGAAGCAAAAGACGCTGACTCTTTTGGAACCGATGTGTCCGTAATCATCAAACTATTCACTTGTTCAAATATTTTTGTTTATAAATCGGATATCTGAAGTAATTTCACAAGACTTAAAGTGAGATATATTTCAAGAAGTCATGCCCCAGTATAGAACTAAACCAAAGTATGTAGTGAACATGCATTTATGTAATTGTAATCAAATGAGTAAAGTTGTAAAAATAACAAAGTCAACGTCGGCATGTTAACGCAATCATAATTCAAACACAAATTCGATTAAAGTACAGTAAAATATAAACAAAATGTGTACATTGAAATTCTTGAAAATACAAGTATAAGATCACGTGTTCCGAAAGAATAAACGTCTTCTGCTTCATCAACGACACCGGCCGTGTAAATCTTAGTCTATCCAAATAAATAAATAGATTTACATTTCCTAATTAGAACATGAACAACGGGACCATCCGGTATGCTAACGAGCATCAAACACATCCAGCTTCATATCGCACAAAGAAACAGAATATTTCTCAAAGAGATCACTATGAGGACTGTAGAACTGTCACCTGTGGACATCTTTTACGAAAAAACATGATAATAGGAACGAATCGTACTATATCGATTCAACTGCGACAAGTGAGCACCATAAGTTGGGAATGTAAAGATCTTTTTTGTTCAATCGACCTAAGAGAACACTGCCGATTTCATTCTTCATTTGATCCAAACAATCTTAAGTGACGATTGAATTTCTTTGATTTTTCGTTCTTATATATATTCGTCATTTCATATTTTCATCTTCAATTCATGTATGTTTTCAAAAACCGACATGATCTTATTTTTTCCTGATTTGGCTCCTTTTGTAAACAGCTAATTATGTTTGGTGATTTATTATACCCCTTTGGTACCCACCAAAAAAAAACACATACCGTCACTTTTACTTAGGAAGCATTTCCTGAAATTATTGGTCATGTTTGAGATGTACAGGTATAACAGATTGGTTATATAAATATATCATTACATTATGTATATTTATAAATCACATAACAATTACATTAATAGTAGAGAGATGAAATTTGTGTAAATCAAAAAATTTCCTCTGATTTCTGACATTTGATTGTCATGGTTACCTACTGAAAAAATGCTAAAAATTCAAAAATACTGCTAATTCCAACCTAACACTACAACTTTCTAGAAGAAATTTCATTCTAAACATCTATCTTAAAATCAACAACAGTCATGGTAACACACTACGTACATTTCAGCAAATCCCAACTCGGAAATCCTTCATAACATGACTACATGTAAACACTATGAAAATTTCACTTCCTGTAAAGCGAGTTTGTTGTGCGTAGACACAGAGACTGCTCAAATAGTAATCTCCAACACAAAGCTAAAATATTATTCTGAAAAAAATGAAACCCCACATTGTCCACTTTAACAAGACAAGACCAATTTTAGTAAGGATTTTTTGTTTCAATTTTAATTAAAACCTTTATAATGGGGTAATCTAATGAACAAAAAAAATCACCCATGGCCACACCGAGAAACTGTGTACTGCTACCTGAAGGCTTTTGCTTGCAATACTATCAGACATCTTTGAATAATTAAGGTGTTAATCTGAATATACCGGGGATTAAGAAGGCGCTTTCTAGACACACATCCTTTGTTTTAGGGTCAGATGACAGTGTGCGGGTATCAACCGTAAATTCTCGGAATGAACAAAATGCCGTTACACCAGGTGTTCCACCAGGTCCTGTCAGGGGTCCAATATTGTTTTCAATTCACTTAAACAATTTGGTTGCTTTGAGTTAAGGTCATATTTGTTTGTAGGTGACATCAATAAAGAAAAAAAAAGCACAAAATGTCTGACCAGCTTCTACTTCAACAAAATATTCTATATGTGGTACCTAGCTATTAAAATGTCCTCCTAGGAAAGTGGTACCTGGCTATTAAAATGTCATCCTAGGAAAGTGGTACCTGACTATTAAAATGTCCTCCTAGGAAAGTGGTACCTGGCTATTAAAATGTCATCCTAGGAAAGTGGTACCTGGCCATTAAAATGTCATCCTAGGAAAGTGGTACCTGGCCATTAAAATGCCTTCTAGGAAAGTGGTACCTGGCCATTAAAATGCCTTCTAGGAAAGTGGTACCTGGCCATTAAAATGCCTCCTAGGAAAGTGGTACCTGGCCATTAAAATGCCTCCTAGGAAAGTGGTACCTGGCCATTAAAATGCCTTCTAGGAAAGTGGTACCTGGCCATTAAAATGCCTCCTAGGAAAGTGGTACCTGGCCATTAAAATGTCCTCCTAGGAAAGTGATACCTGGCCATTAAAATGCCCTCCTAGGAAAGTGGTACCTGACCATTAAAACGTCCTCCTAGGAAAGTGGTACCTGGCCATTAAAATGTCCTCCTGGGAAAGTGGTACCTGGCCATTAAAATGTCATCCTAGGGAAGTGGTAACTGGCTGTTAATATGTCCTCCTAGGAAAGTGGTACCTGGCCATTAAAATGTCCTCCTGGGAAAGTGGTACCTGGCCATTAAAATGTCATCCTAGGAAAGTGGTACCTGGCCATTAAAATGTCATCCTAGGGAAGTGGTACCTGACTATTAAAATGTAATCCTCGGAAAATGAACCTGGCCATTGAAATGTCCTCCTGGGAAAGTGATACCTGGCCATTAAAATGTCCTCCTGGGAAATGTATCTATGTACACAGGAAGAAACTTTGGCAATAATTTTACATATTATGTCGCTGAAACTGTACAAATGTAACCAGAAACATAAAAATGCATTTCCATTTTGATCAATAAACATCCTGGATTCGGAAAGCACATACATTCATGTATATGAGAAAGTGTAAACGTGTGAGTGGAAGAGCAATTCAAACTCTGGATATATAGTACATTCATCTTTACAATAAACCACTAGTAATCACCAGCTCGAACACACCTTCACTTCGCAAGCGCTTTTTGGTCCTTATGTAAGAACCAATGCGTTAATATAATTGAAGGAATGCAAAGGTGACAAAATTTGTCCCAGAAATGAGAAAAGGGGAAAAACAAGACACAAAACAAAATAAAACGAAACAAGAAAATATAACAAATTAAACATATCTTGAATATTTTGGACCATTTTCTTCAGATTGGTAATGTCAATAGGGTAGAAGTATTTCTTGGTTGTGTTATCTATGAATCAAACAAAACTCGTCTCCATATAGATTGAACAGCCTCGGTTTATTTGAATTATTATAAGACCTTAATTGTGGTTTTATGTGAAAGTTTAACGTTGTAAGTCAAGAGATTTCACCCAGAAACTCCCTGAAGCCTGTCTTGCTAAAAAAAAACCTCTTCAAGGGCTGATCGCGTATCAAATTTCAATAAACAGTTCATTTTTAGGGTTCTTTAATCACCTTGAATTTACTCACAAAATATCATAAAAAGTTAACGTCAAATTCATTGTTGGGAAATACTTTTGTATTAAAAAATAAGTCATCGTTTTTATGAAATTATGAACGAATATTTCGTCGGAGCGATCAAGTAGAGAAAATTATCTAAAAACTATTATATATACCAACAGTATTCTAGTATAAAGAGACAATTTTTCTTCGAAATGCAATTATTTTTAGACTTACAAAAATATAAACAATAATTAATAATTGAGATGTGGTAACACATGAACATTTGAAAAAAAAACAATGACTATGGAGTCAAATATATCGTTTCAAATTATATAAACACAACAAAAAACGCACAATTAAATTATGCAAGCAATAGCCAATGATATTTTGAGAAATTTGTACAAAATTTTATATCAATATGAAGGGACAAGTCTACTCTTTCCAATACTGTAGAAGGAAAAGTCTGTGCTACGTCATTTGTGTCGTCAGTAGTTACTCAAATTGGGATACGCGCGAAAAACAAACTGCAGTGTGGGCATCTCTTGCACGACGGATTCTCCTGTGCGTTCCCAACAGCATTTCAAAAGTCTGATGAAGGGTGTAAGGGAAGAATTGTACTCATGTGTTCATATCGACGACTTTAATCAACCATCTGTACATGTTGATTGTCCTGCCTTGTACGCTTGGTCTCCATTTTTCACAATCGTAGAGGCTCCGATTCGGGCGCAGACTGGTACTACAAACATCGTAATCTTATTAACAAGCGTCTCACCGACTCAGATCAAGTAAAAAACATGGACGACGAAGAGGAAAAGCCAGGCAACGAGTCGATGAAACCTGTTGTCGTTGACGATTGTTGCAGCGATATATCCAATGGCTCTAAACTGAGGTTGATATAAATTGTTGTGATCATCATTGTGATGGCTTCACATATATGCTTTCAATTCATAGCTATTGTTCCATTGATATGAAAATACTCCTCGCGGTCGTGATGGATAAAAGACGCTGATATATTTGTGTCAAGTTGTATCGTACCACAAGAACACACTTTAACCTAAAATCGTAATGTCGACGTACCTACAACATTGTAGTTACATGTAATTTTATATGTGTGTGTTTGATATGATTTATGTTTGAAGACCAAAAGAAATATAATGCTGAGGCAGGCGTTAGATTCCAATCATTGGAAGCTATAGAGAAAAGTCAAAGATCCCGGCTCACATTTTACTGAAGTGCTGTATAAAGCTAATAACAAAACATACTTTTAGTTATAAGAAATGTGATGTTTGTTGGAGTTGATAAAGTTTAAACTCCTTTTGTTAGTCCATACGTCAAACAAATACAGCTGTATGTGTGAAAAAATATTTCTTAGTTATTGTCTACCACAGTAAAATGCAGGCGAAAAAGCAGAAACAAAAATGTGTCCTGAAGACCGACCAAATTATTATCATTCAAAAATTTCTAGTTAGATATAGTATTCAAAGTTGATAAAAAGTAATTAACTCCCATTATTAACCACATATTTCTGAAAGCCTTGTTTCCTTATATTAGCCATAAGCAGTGGAGAGCCAGACTAAAGAGAGAGCGACGGCGCCAGAAAAGACAAGAGAATGCAAGGGTGTCTGTAGCGTATACAGAAAATGGGAGTTTAGGTATGATATCAGGAGACATTACTTCATTATATTGCCTTTCAGGCAAACAATTCACAACTTCTGCAATTTACCAAGAAATTATACTTATTTGAATAGAAGTAGGGACATTCGTGTCTTAAAGACTTTTTTTTAAGATTTTCTGAATTCAAGTAAGCACTAAATTTTGATAATGTGATAGGAGTCTTGATATTTGTTTACATCTATATGTTCCTGTTGGGCAAATGAGACCTAAACTTTGTTTGTTGCCAGAAAATGAAGTTGTGAATGAAGAGTTTGAGAAGCTGAAGGAGCAGAGAGATGAAGCGGAGAGGGCATACCTCCATGCCCAGTGGTTGGAGCGTGAGAAACAAGCACAGGAACAGTGGCAGAGGAGGAAGGAGAAAGAAAGGATAGAGAAACAGAGGAGAGAAGAACAAGAGGTGATTATTTATACCTGTCTTACTGAATATGATTTAGACTTATTGTCTTTCAATATTTCATTTTAAAAATTGATATTTTTCTAAATGATGGGATCATGAAAAATCACAAAACAAACAAACAAACCTTCTTTTTTATGGTCCTTTGTTCTAGAATCAAACAATATGGCCTTGACTTGCACCAAGAATGTAAACATGTGATAAAAAGAAAACAAATATCACTTAATCAATAAATCGCATTCAAATACGATGTTTGAATTTGTACACCTACTTTTCAGAAAAAAATCAAAGAAGAATGGGAAGAACAGCAGAAAAAAGAGAAAGAAGAACAAGAAAAGAAAGATAAGAAGGATAAAGAAAAGAAGTCCCACCAGGTGAAAGATGCCACATACTCAAAATATCCTAAAATTACAGTGGATGAAATTCAGAAATTTACATTTATGTATCAGACATCTGTTATATATATAGATATCTTCATTTAGACATCTTCAGTTAAACAGACAATTTGGCCACAGTTTTTCTGTTCAGCTCTTAGATGAAGATGACTGAAAAATTTTTTGAAGCGAATTTCTATCAAGTACATATTAATATTTTACTGATATTATTCACAAAATATTAGTTATTGAATTATTAGAATTCATGTTTTTTCTGAATTTGTTCAAAAATTTACAATGATTCCTTGACCAAGACTCCACATTATGGCAACGAGTTGGAATGGCAGGAAGAAGTTTTTAATAGAATGTATCTTTTGTGTTGCATCACTAATATCATATGGATTTGTTCAATTATCCAGAAATTTACTCCTGCAGTGTGATCTGTGTTGATTATCAGTACCTTAATTAATTGATTGACAAACATTTGATTTTTTATTGAATTAATAATCTTACACTTCTATAAAGATTTTTTTGCTCTCAAATAAATGTCAGGAGAAAATTATGATATTTTGTACAATATGCACAACCAACAACTCTAGCTACAGTAAGTTAGGAGTAATTCCATATTCTAAATTAAAAAAGAAAATCATCCCTGTTCTGAGGTGATCTGCGCGATTTAAACATAAAATCCATGTTTAAGGTAACTTAATTAAAACTACTTCCATACATCAAGGACATTCATGGGGTGTGGATTTACGAAGAACCACAACTCCTCCTTTCATAAAGATATCTCTCTGTCTTATTTCCATTTATTGAGATGAAAAAAGATCCAAATCTGTTGACCATCTTACATAACTCTTTTTTTAATAACCTCTCGTTCTTAAAAATGTCAGATATTATAACAATGATGGTTTCCTTTCAGAGCTTGCATTGAGAGCTAAATGTTCCCGTTGTCCTTTTTTTTCAACCATTTCATTTTTCATACAATAGTAAAATATTTTGTCATTTTACAGCATATTTTTTTTAATGGAAACTACCCTTGGTATCTAATATTAAAGGCATAAATAAGATGATACCTCATATATGTCCAAAAACATTATTTCTACAAAGGACTCTAAACACATTTGATATCTTATTTTGCATTTTACTTCCAAACATAGATACTGTTAATTTTTTTACAGCTTCAACCATTGTTTAAAGTAAAAAGAGGATAAATTTTTCGCAGAAGATATGAAACTGATTTTTTCTTTCATTGTCTTAGTTTTATTTTGAAGGTGTCTACTTCAAGTGATTTTATTCCAGTTTGAAAATAGCCAACCATGGAATTTACAAAATATAAATCTTAAGAGTTTTATGAAAAAAGGTTATCTAGCAAGAATTTAATTTAAATTGTGATTATATACTTAAAATCATTAATGTAACAACCAGAGATGTTAAACAGAAATGTAAATTGGTGTAAGGATTTTAGAATAAAAGTCAATGGTATTACATTTGTTTTGATATAAACTTAACTGCAGATATCAGAGTTTTCAGCCCTGTTCCTGTTTTGTCATCAACATGCTGGTGTTTTGTAGGAGGATCTACTTCGTCAGGCAACCGCCAATGAAAACAAGGTAATATAAGCAGAATTTATCTAGCATGACCTGTTAGAAACTTAAACGTGACTTTTCAGTGACTACACTTTGACAATTTAAGAACATGTAAACATAACCCAAAGGTTTCTGACTACCTACCTGCGATTTTATTTTCAATATCGACCACATAACATGTGCTTGTCACTAATAATCTTGTCTTGTTGCTGTTATAGGAAGGAGATGAACAGCCATGGCATAATCCCATTGTCCGAGTTGTACAGGGTAAAGAGAGAGATAGATGTCCCTTTTTTGCCAAGACAGCAGCTTGCCGGTTTGGTGACAGGTATTAAATATAGTTACAGATGATTCTGAAAAATTGATTACAATAATTTAAAGATCTGATCACTGGAATTAACAAAGAAAAGATTTCAAATTGAATTTATCGTATTTTTGATTGAGTCTAGGTTTGAAACTGAAATTTATTTCCATTGGTCAGAAAAAGGTGACCATCACCTTGGTAAAAAGGACTTCAAGGATTTAAAAATATATATCACTTCTGTGTGCATCGGTACCTGCCTGTTTCCAATTATAACACGCAATTTATTTTTCTACTGTTATGTAAACTTATTTAGAAAATATTTAATTGAGTCTTTGTTGAATCAGTTACAGATAAAATATTATATTTCTCTAAGGTATACGTTTTGTTATTTATGTATTAAGAGCCAGACCCACTCCTCAACCGATATTATTTTATAAAAAAAAATTCCTGATTTTTTATTTTTCTCCGGTAGCAAAAGTTCTGACTAACCCTGTAATACCGCAATTTTAAAGTAAATAGCTACCAATCTAACGTAATAAATAGTTTTAAAAAAGAATTTGAAATGACTCAGTGCTAATTCTTAATTATGCGGGAAGTCCTGCCCTCTGATGCATGCGCAAAGAACTGTAAATAAATCTGCCGTCTTCCAACATGGCAGAAAGCGTGCGAGGGAAGCGGGAAAGAAAACATATTTTGACGGACTCTGAGGCGAAAAAAAGGCAGATGACTGGTTCATACTCTGTATCGCTGTCTGTTTGGCTCTCGTGTAGTATCACTCTAAAATCATATTCATAAATACTCTTATCATCGAATATTGGCTTTAGATAGATCCATTTCGCGATGTTCTACATGTTTGTTACCGTATTGTAGCCCCCATTTGAGGGCCTCTTTGCAATTAGTCATAGTTTTTCTCGTAATCTGCACGTTTTTGTGTCATATCTAAGCATTGAAAGACGTGATCAATACATATGTTAGATGATTTCCATACAGGATATATAGAGAATTGATTGCATCTATTGGTAAAATCTCTTTACAAGCAATGTCACATGGATGTACGACTTGCCTCTTCCTCCAATTTTGTTTTGGTTCTGACTGCGTCACATGACTTTTCCTCATCAATATTCATATCCTGGTGTTGATTAATGAGACTAATTCCGGCACCGATATCTCTGGTACCCTTTCAATTTCAAGTTCGAAACTTTATACAAGTCCTTATTTATATATTATCTATTAGTATACAACAACAGTCAATAAAATATGAAAAAATATCTATAACGGAGTGGGTCTGGCTCTTTAAGTTTTAAAAATTAAGAAAAGGAAAAGCTTCGTTGGATCATTGTTCTTTATAGCTTGTACCTTTCTGATTGGCTTGTTTGTGCATTACTTAATCATTCAAGTCACAGAATTATTGATTTACAGTATTTTTATTTGTCCCAAATATAACGAAGTACGAAATTTCTAGGATTGGTCAAAGTAAGGCCCTTCTCCCTTTACATCATATGATATGCTGCTGAAAATGTATACTAAGTCATGTTTTAATCCTATTTGCCAGATGTTCTCGTACACACCCCCAGACTGAGAGCAGTAACACTCTGTTGTTCCGCGGTATGTACAGCCACTTTGAGTTGGAGCAGGGTCTGATGGGTGAGGAATACGACACAGGTAGGTGCTAAGGAGAAAGAAGAAAACACCTGAGCTTATTGTTTCCCAGAATCTTTATATTTCCAATAGTTCATCCAAACTTTTGCCTCTTTAATTTAGATATCTTTGAATCTGAAAATGTATATTGATGTAAAGATAGGGAGACATGCTGGCATGTAGATGCTTTATACTCCCATGGTCACTTTTCATGCCAGTGTTATGAAACAGCTTGAGTATATTTTGATAACAGGACTGTTTTCAGTGTTGACTTCACATTTAAATATCAGGTTTTTTAAAAGATTAGTATTTGATGAGTGTTCTCTAATTTTCAGATCTAATCCTTGAATATGATGATTCGGAACTCTACCAAAACTTTCGTGAATTTTATGAAGATATTGTCCCAGAATTTAAAGCCATTGGTCAGGTTGTTCAAGTGAAAGTGTGTTGTAACTATGAACCGCATCTCCGTGGAAATGTCTACATCCAGTACAGAAGGTAGGCAGGAGACTTTGGGTTAGCCTTGTAGTTTTATGAGCATTGCATTGGAAATCTGCATTCATTTTGTTTCCACGCAATGTTTACTAATAGTTACATTATATATATGTTATGAATGATATATAGTTCATTTGTATTTTGTATGTAAAATAGTTTTTGAAAATTTCATATCTATCATGTATAATATATCTTTAAAAAAATATAGTTCCATGTGTCTCAGGCCTGTCTGACTACATTATACTGGCAAAGTAGAATTAGCAAGCATATTTTGTCAGTATGTAAGCCATGTGTCTCAGGCCTGCCTGACAATATTATATTGACGAAGTTGAATTAGCGAGCATATTTTGTTGGTATGTAAGCCATGTGTCTCAGGCCTGTCTGACTACATTATATTGACGAAGTAGAATTAGCAAGCATATTCTGTCTGAATGTACGGCTTGAAAGTAAGTTAGAGAAATACCAAAATATCCTTGAAATAGCGATGGGAATTAAAATGTGTATGTTGATTTTTCAAAGGGATGACAAATTTAAGTGCTTCAGAATTGGACACAGGATAATGTTTTTAACCTTTATAAATTCCACTAGAAAAATGTCACTCTTGAAAATGTATGAGAATGGCATCTATGGTGAGAATAGTTACCTTAATCCAACAGCCTCCAGCTTTATTTACTTTTGTATTGATGACTTTTGGGGTAAAAAATTGGTGTTATATCATAATGTGAAAATATTGAGAAAAAATGTAAATATTCCTTTGCCATTAGATTTCAGAAGGAGAAGATGTTATATAAAGCCTTCATCTCCATATCAGCTTTATTTGTAAAAAAAGAAATGTTCTGCCAACAAGGAATCTACTTTGTATGGCCTAAGTAGCATGTTTAAAAAGTTAACAGGCCATATCCTCCATGATTTTTCAAGGATCTGTAGGTTAATCATGGCTGACATACTCTTCTCATTTTGACTTCAAGTTATTGTTTTGTTGGCACAACAGTACTTCATTGTTGTCTCTGTATAAATGACCTTATTTTACAGAGAGGATGATGCAGCCTCAGCCATCGTTCAGTTCAACGGCAGATATTATGGTGGAAAACAGCTGTCCTGTGAATATGTTACTATAACGAGCTGGAAATCAGCTGTCTGTGGTAAATGAATTTTAATATATTCGTTTTATCAGTTTTAAACATGCTTCTGGGAAATCTATCACTTAACGATTAGCTAATTAAAATGCCCTTCGTTGGCAGTTTCTCATCAACCCTAAATATTTATTTTGCAGTTATGTCATCAAATGGATGTTTCTGTTTCTTAGATAGTTTTCGTTTGGTCCGAAAATGTGTCCATTTAATTTATAATTGATTAAATGACAGGTGACTCACTTGTCTTCTGACATTTAAACTGAATATTTACTGTGAAATGCTGGAGGGGTTTTCTTGAATTTCCATGTAAAGAATCCCTTTGGTCAAAACTTTTGGCAATCAGAGGAAAGTTTGAAAGACATGCTACAACAAAAGCATTAAATATCTGCAGACGGTATGTTGTAGTAAACAAAACATGATGCTATCTGACACGACATGACATGGTGTCCAATGTATCTGGAAAAGCAATGGATAGTGTTTCCTCAAATTTTACATAAAGATACAGATTGTCTTCATTTTAGTGTTTTAATCACTTGATTCATTCACTAGGCAAAAATCAATGAAGAATATAGTAAAGAGAATTAAATAGAACAAGGTTACATTACAGAAATAAGTGTAATATGATGGGTGATAATTCCTAAAGGAACTCTTGCTTAAACCTTCTGTTGCTTTCTTTTCACTCTTACTATACAAGGTATGTAAATTAACTTTATTTGATCAGAGACTGGAAGTTTATGTACACAATTTATGTTACCATTAGGATCAAAAATTTGTTTTTTTGTTAGAAAACCTGTCAGTCCATTGCCAAAGGGCAGGTAACTTTATCCTTATACATGTACATCTCTTTAAATATTGAAGGGAATTTTGAGAGATGTTTTGCTTTAAGCCAAAGAACAAACTGTGATTTGTCTTTCAATTCATGAAACTACCATAACTTGTACCTTACACAATTATTCCTATTTTCTGACAGGTTTGTTCGGAAGTGGTCGATGCCCCAAAGGACGAAACTGTAATTTCCTTCATGTGTTCAAGAATCCTGGCAATGAATTTTGGGAAGCAGATCGTTATGACAGACACAGACAAAGTAACATGCATAATAGGAATAGAGAATGGTCAGAGAGGTCATCAAGGAATCGATCAAGGTCACGAGAAAGACAAAGAAGCCGGTCAAAGTCACCTGTAAGAAGAAATCGGTCACGGAATCGTGGAAGGTCAAAGAGATCCAGATCGTTATCAAAAGATAGACATTATGATTCAAGAAGAAAAAGGTCAAGGACATACCATTCAAGGTCAAGATCAAGAAGTAAATCCGGAGACCGATCAAAATCTAGAAGAAAACTTTCAACTTCAAGGTCACTGTCAAGAGGTCGATCAAGGTCACCAAAGTCAAAGTCAAGAAAGAAGCATCCAACATCAAGATCAAAATCTAGAGATCGTCAAGGGCAGTCAAGGTCAAAAAGAAAACATTCTGCCTCTAGTTCACAGTCTAGAGGTCGATCAAGGTCACCAATGTCAAGAAAGAAACATTCATCTTCAAGGTCATTATCAAGGGAACGATCACACTCACCAAAGTCAAACAAAAAACGTTCTTTCTCAAGGTCACTGTCAAGGGGTCGAGGAAGATCTCCGTATAAGTCAAAGGATGGAATTGAAAGGAAAGATCCAACAGTAGAGGATTATTGTGTTATTCAGAGTGAAACATTGTTAGTGTCTGAATCAGAGAAAAATGATGAGAGACAAGAAAACAACACAAGCGAACAAATATCAGAAACGAATTATGTAAAATATGATTTACCAGAGAACAGTAACAGTTCTGATTCAGAGAAATCAACTCAAAATCATACAGACAAAAAACATAAGAAACGTAAGAAACATAAGCGTAAGAAACACAAAGTCATATTAGAATGGGTAGAGGCTTCATGAATGGTGATGTTACATTGTACCTACCCTTTATTTTGTAAAGAATACATTTGTGGCTTTTATACATCTTTCTTAAACAAAACCTTGTGTTACTTATGCTTTTACCGGTGCTGATTTGCTAAAAAGATCTGAAAAGTTTAAGCATGAGGTTATAAACAAAAATGGTAATATCAAAAGGGAAGTTGAAGTGTTCCATGTAGTAACTTAATGTATTACTGACATAGCAATCTGCTTAACAAAAGTGGTAGAATCATGTAGCTATTTGTGCGATGTGGAACTTTTTGAACATCTAACTCTGCTATATAAAGTAAGGATTTTTGGTCCTACATGATTTCATATTTGAATTTTTAAGATTATTTTCAACCCTCAATTAAATTCGCCTGTGCTCCATTATCTGTCAGTAAACAGTTCTTGTTTCCACTATTTCATGAGAAGTACCTGATGGAGCATTCTAAAATTCCATGAGTAGGCGCCGTTTGGCCCTACTTGTACCTGTTTGATTTTAGTACTAATCAGGAAAATAAAATGGCCGACCTGAAACTGTTTCGGATTTTGACAATTAAACTTTATCACTATTTCTTAAGAAAAAGTTGAAAAGATCATTCTAAAATTTCGTATGTATGCCCTCCCTTGGCCCCTTGTGTGCCTGGTCTTATTCTTCTTGCACTTTTTCAGGAGTCTGCTATGATTGTTTTCTTTTGATCTCATTTTGCATAGCTTTAATGAGTTTGTGTTTGGATTATGATTATGTCCACATGTTGATGTTTTCTCGTTGATTTTGAGACAGATCCCAAAAAAATGACTGTCGGGATGCTATTTTATCTTTCGCCAATTTGATATGTAGGTTTTCATTGGTCCTAGTTGCTCGTTTGATTTTTAGACTGATCCCAAAAACAAAATGGCTGACAGTGGCCATCTTTGATTTCGACAATGACAGTTTGTTATTACCCTTTCTTGAGAGATACCAGATTTATCTTTCTAAAATTCCCTGTGTGGGTTTCTCTTGGTCCCAACTTCTGCCCATTTGATTTCATGAGTGATCAAAAAAACAAAATTGTTGACAGACGGACATCTTGGATTAGACTAGCGAAGTTTGTTATCTCTATTCATTGAAGATGCAGTTCCGGTATTAATTTGCTCAGTAGCACTCAACTTTTACCCAATGCTTCTTTGAGGCAAGTGCTTGCATGCAGAAGTTACAGTCACTGTTACCTTAAATAGAACATTATATTTCTACATGTCTTTAATTCTATTTAGATAATTGTACTTTCTCCATAGCTACTTCACAGGAAGCACTAGCTCTCAATTTCACATTCAAAAGTCAAGATCACCATCATTTTAGATAGAGGTAAAACTATAGTTTTAATATTCACCATATCTAAATGTTACTGATAAATATTTACTGATGGCTTTCTGAAGCACAGATTAATGAAATCCAAATAAGCAGTCAGCCGAAAATAGGTCAAGGACATCAGGTCAAAGTTCAGTAACAAATCTAAGGTATTTTACCGCCGGATATTTATTATCATAAAATAAAGCATTAGTGACTGAAATCAAATGAGGCAACGATATATCGAGGTCAAGAGGTGAAAGATCAAAGTTATTTTCGAATTGTTCTACAGTGAAATATTTAGAGTCAAAATCCGAGTTGAAATTTATTGGTAAACATGAACTAGATATCAGTTGTCTTTTATGTTCAAAATTCAAGGTCATTATTACTGTAAATAGTAATAAGAATGTACAGCAGACTAATGTATCTAAATGTTACTGGTCAATGTTTTCTTGTGTCATTAGGAAATATGATTGACTGAAAACAAATGATATATCACCCGACCATAGGTAACAGTCACCAGATCAGAGGTCAGAGCCAAATTTGAAATATTTCAAAGGGAAATATTTTTCATGACATAATGAATATTTATTGACAAATCAAAGGAGAAGTTGCCCAACAGTATGTGAATGTGATGAGGTCGAAGATCAAGGTAATATTTGAAATATTTCGGACAAATGCATCAGGTCGAATGTCGATTTCAGGTTTTACTGGTAAATATCTTGATATGACATATTGAAGCATAATTAGTTGAAAACAAATTAAAAGTCGACGAACCATATGTCAAAGATCAAGATTAAATTCAAAATATTTCAGACAAATATTTGAAGCTAAAAGCTGAGTTCAGGTATCACAGGTAAACATTGCGACATGATGAAGCATGATTAGTTGCAATCAGATGGGAAGTTGGACAACTACAGGTCAAGGATGAAGGTCAAGTAATATGATTTACAGTCAATTTACCAAGTCTATAAACAAAAAATCAATATTGAGGTAATGTTCAATTTTTCAATCCTGAAGCCACGTAATAAACCAAACGTAAATCAATTATGGTCATTAATTTTGTAGGAGCAGGCAGTACGATTTTGCGTATGAACTCACCTTCGGATCTCGACCAATTTTTTGTGTTCTGTGTAAAGCAATATCAAAAACTAATATAATTACATGTTGACGATAACGTCGAAAGTGACAACCATGATCCAAAAATCCCGATGGCGTTCGTGGATTTCAATGCAAATAGGAAATTTATCTGACATTCCAATTAGTAAACAGTTCTGTACAATTACAATGCCTATTGTGATGGGGAAAACATTGTAATACATCGAACGATGACTGAGTATTTAGAAATATCGCTAGTTTTTCTCGTGAAAGTGATCCTTAATTTATCTCAAATGCAATGAAAATGAAATGAAGCTTAGATCCAGCCGTCTACCCTAATCTAACACAGACGCCTTTTAATTTAGTTTTTACCCCGAGTCTACTACTTTTACCGATTTAATTGTCAGACACTGAATAATCTGGAAGAACAGAGCTTATAATGGTTCATTATTTGCGGACGAGATAGCATTGGAGACTGTAAGTAAACTGGAGTCTATTATTCAAGTTAACCGCTGTATATCGTAAAAGGGTAAACGCATTCCAGAACATATTCTTGTGGTTGGTGATGTCAATAGAAGTTCTAACATCTGGTCTTTTGTCTGGTGAAGGTGAGCGTGTATTCGTCGAAACGTCATCGAAATCTTCTACTAGTTGTGTTATAAGAACTTCTATTCTATGGCATGAAGGTCTTAACAGATCCAGGATATCAGTTGTATACAGTTCAATAATACTGAGATTTAAAATAGCAATGGTCCCATCATCCCGTGTCTACATATTTTAGCTGTTGTCGGGCAATCAACTCGGAACCTACTTGCCCGATAGCCATTCAAGGAATATACGTAGAAAAAATGAAATATTGGTAGACAATATTGTGTACTAATGAAAAAAAATCACAAATTTGTGTCATTTTATTTGTTTATTAGGCTAAGGTTATATATATTTATTTATTTACAAAACGTGTCTACCACCAACATAATTGGCGTCCGCGTTAGCTGTGGCTAACCTCTTTTGACCAGAGTACTTGTAAATATGGACACAATCAAAACGAGATGGCATCATGTTATTTAGCTATTTAGCATTTCTATCAAAACATCGGCAGTATTCTACAAGATTTCGATGATTCTAAACTCCGGGGGTTAAAGGTTAAAAAATGCTGCCTCTAATCTTCCTGCGTCTCATTTTCACTGGCATTGATTTATTTACAATAGACATGCGAGTATAACACATTTATTACAAATTGAAAAATAAGAACCGAATAATGAATTAAATCGCATTATACAACTTGTTAGTATATAACTAAGTTATGTAACAGATATATTGGGTGACACCTTAGTTCACAGAATCATTTAATGGTTAGATGAGTTCTTAGAATGCAACGCGTATATCATATTATAGTTAAGTGTTGATGGCATCCATTTCGGAACTGTCGCCGCTGAATTCGTCACATCCTCCACGACCTGTCAAATTGTACACGACCAACCGTTTGAACGATCGTTTGTAGTTTCGTTCTAGGTGTTGGTAGACCGGTATAGCACTCTGGTCTGCAGGTTCCCAATCGGCCGTCGGTTTCAGCAAGGACACCAATCTCTGTCAAATTTAAACATCAACAGCAATTTCACTGTGCTGCTCTTTAAAAAAAAAGCTTTTGGCTGTTAAAAAAATCGAGACTTTATTTTTATTGTGTGTAATCATTAATGATTATATTTTACGACTAAATACAGATGTTTCGGATCTGTGAAATTAAAGACTTAAACACTTCTAACACAAGTTCCTAGAAAGCGTGTATTAGATACGTTGTAAAATAAAAATATCAGTGACGTAAATCATCTTAACGTTTCTGCAAAATGAGAAATCGAAACATGAAATTTAAATAAATCTGTAAATGAAAACCCTGAAATCTTAAACACCACGAGTAAAAAGGATATATATATATACATTTTATTTCATCAATTTGAATTAATCTTATTTGAATTAACAATTAATTGTATAGTATACCTCCTTCAACGGGCCTTGTTGCTTCTTTACCGCCCATGCCATATATCCAAACATTGGGACGATTGAGACCATAGCAAAACACCATCCAATAATTTGAGCGTAGGCTGGGTACTCGTAAGTGTAGTAGGTGGGAGGTTTGTATTTAAATATGCTGATGAGGACTAAAAACTATGAAATGATAAAAAAATATGATATATATGAAACGGATTTATTTCCATAAAAATGTGCCTTTGTTAGATATAATTAAATCCCCTATCTAAAAAAATATGTTTTATCTAAATTTGCATAATCATATGATTACTAAATGTATAATCACGGACTTGGCTATAGATCGAAATGTGTGCTATAATAATACATGTGAAATTTGTTTCGCCAGTGTGAAATGAGCCATTTACTTGCAGCCTACACGAGACAATTTCATGGTGATACATGTATACAAAATTCTAGATTATCTGTAAGCTGCCAATGTGTTTCATAAGATATGACCTACCATGGCCAATTGGTACTTTTAAACTATACATATGATTTGGCATCGCCTTTTAAGTTTATTTGTTTTTGTAATGTTTTATTTACGTAAAGGAATTCTAACTAGACAGCATGTAATTTAACTAATACTTGACTCAGGCATTAAGTACACTAACCAGGAGAACGGCGGGCAAAATGAAGGCTGTTGTGATTCGCACAAATGCGGGTAACGGCCTCTTTAGCATCAGTCTGGCGTCTCTACTCAGTCTGTCACCACCTAAAAAAATCTACATTTTCAGTTTTCCAATATCGTAAAAAAAATCATGTTATTAAATATAAAATTTAAAATCATACAATTATAAGAAATGTTACAGCTGTTTAATACAACTTTTTTTATTTTTCATTTGAATAGGATTGAATCTTAAAGCGTATCCTTTTGGATATGTTCACATCACTTGATTGGGATATTTGAATCGTATTATATGGCATTGGTATATGTCACGTATTCCGAGGTAGTGAGATAAACTTAGCATGGAAACGTATTGCAGAGGATCTTTTCAGTACGTATTCTTCAAGAAATCAATCCAATATAAGCGGATTTCGTTGGTATTTTTATCATTGGTGATCGATCGTTTTACACCGCTGTCAATACATTACCAGTTTTTCACATCAGATATAATTCTGACAATCAATTATAGTTTGTTGAATTTCGTATATAAATTGCCTACCGTAGATCCAGGCATATACAATGGACTCGGTCACGGCGATGAATAAAATACTCCATGTTGCGGTGTACCAATCTATCAGTTGGAACATGTAAACTCCAGCCTAGAAAGCGAGAAATTAAAAGACAGCTGTAGCCGTTACTGTAGTTGGAATAATGGGTAATTGGATGCTTTATGTGGTGGCGCGTATACCCCTAAACTCTATCACTCTAACTATTTCTAACATTTTTTTTTTTCATTTTTACAACGAAGGTTCAAGTGATAGAAATTTAAATTTGTTCAATCAATTTTGACCAATCAATCCACAGTATTTTCAATTTTTCCCGGAGTGCTTTAAGGCACCCGTAAAGGCCGACAACCCTGATAGAGATTGTGAGAAATATAACTCCATAATTTATTTTATTTATTCTATTGAAGAAATTCTGGGCGTGTTAAGTTCAGACAAATCGCTAAGGTATGGGCTCTATGAAAAGCAGAAGTTAATTAGGTAAACACAATATATATGTTTTCTCAATATGTAATTCAATATCAAACATCAAGGCAAAATACATTTCACAGCTCACTGCCCTTACACTATTCTCATTACCAGTTGGCGCTGTCATTGTAAGTGATACAATGTGTTTAACAACAAAACGTCACACACCTTGTGTGTCTGGAATATTTTAAGTTTTATCTCTAGTGCGAGGGATATAAAATTCTTTAAACTTTTCCTGTTTTGTCGCGATATGACGTAAACAAGTTTTTAACTTGCAACGCAATACAAATACCATCAGGTCAACACAATCCAAATTCATTAACACTAGTGCAAAATATGAAGAAAAGAAAGTTTTAGACGGAGACTCCCAAAAATTAAAAGGAGAATTAGACAATGTGTTCCAATTCATTGTTTAGCTCTAAATTTGAATTAAAAGGTCCCATCCACTTGTGTGTCTTTGGTACAATATTTTGTCAACAAATCTACCCTTCTATGACGTAAGAAATCGTGTTAATAACAAAAGAATACATTTGGTGCAAAAAATTTCTGTGCCTTATGTGTAAGAACACATTGATCTTGTTATAGCTCACACTGTAGAGTTTGCTGGTTTGAAGACTCACTCGCCAGTAAGATACATATGTCAAGTTCTCCAAAATAGACCAATGTACGATCACTTCACCTTTTTATGGCTTCCTGGTTAATTCCACCAACTCAATCGCGATAACAAGAATGTTCTCCCGTTGTACAAATACATCCACATATATTATATGGCCACTGGTTTACCTAAGTAATAATTCGGATTAACTCAATATACACCATCTAGACGAACTCGTATGCTAAGGATATTTTGGTAAAAAGGTGTACAAGATTGATTTTCACACGTTATCTAAGCAATCTTCAAAGTAGCAGTTTTGTCCTTCATGAGACGTTGCAGAATGTAAATTCACCAACGGTTGGTGAACAAAATAGCAGTTCTGTCCTTCATTAGACGTTGCAGAATGTAAATTCTCCAGCAGTAGGTGAACAAAATAGCAGTTCTGTCTTTCATTAGACGTTTCAGAATGTAAATTCACGAGCAGTAGGTGAACAAAATAGCAGTTCTGTCTTTCATTAGACGTTTCAGAATGTAAATTCACCAGCAGTAGGTGAACAAAATAGCAGTTCTGTCTTTCATTAGACGTTTCAGAATGTAAATTCACCAAAGTAGGTGAACAAAATAGCAGTTCTGCCCTTCGTTAGACATTGCAGAATGTAAATTCACCAACAGTAGGTGAACAAAACAAATTAATGCCAATAACTAACTTCAAGAAGTAAGTTATCCTATCGACCTTATAAGTGATATAAATTAAATTAAAGGATAAAACCGAGAATAATGTATACCTGTGAAACCAGAGGGACACCACAGACGAAGGTGATTAAGGTCATCACTGTAAGAAGTGGGATTCGTCTTTTCCCGATTGTTTTAGGAAATATTTCTTCAATCACACACAGAACGGGCTCCATCAAAATTGTCTATTAAAGAAAATCAGATAAAATATATTTACATTAGTATAAACAATACCGTAATATGAACCACTAGAACCTGTACAATAAAATAAATCCAACGTTTTATCTTAAGAGTTTAACTTTTAAGAGTAGCTACAATTCCTTAGACTTGCTATGGTTTATAGTCAGTTTTAACCGGGAGAGGTAAAATATTTTAATATATCATTACAAATGTAATATATAGATACCTATGAAATAGCTGAGACCTTTTACGTTTTCATTTAACTTTGTTTTTATAGTTGCAATTATAAGTTAAATTTAAACATTTGGTAATACGTTTATTAGAATCCATACTTCTGATATACATTTCGTGACGGCGTAGCTGACGTTGTGTCTTAATCAATATACTGCAATTGTACCTTACCTAAAATGAAGGAATACTTTATACAATGTCAATATGTGTAGGTGTATGTATGCCTTATACGGATGTTTGTATGCACGATTTGATCAATGTCAGTGTGGAGAATGAAAACCCTTCTACATAACGGCATATTTGTACTGTGACGTTGTGAAAAATCATATCCATTTTAAAGGATTTGTTTTCTTATTTATCTTATCTAATGCTCCTTTGCTAAAAATCACACATCCCAATTGTATTTTAATGATGTTATCTTTTTCTGATTATCCATGGATTTTCCTTTTATAAGCAGTTGCTGGGTTACAAAATATTAAAAAGGTCTTAAGATGGCACAGATGCAAATCAACAATGCACATATTGTTTAAAGCAGGTGATATCCTGAAATTGGGTAAAAAGCATTGCCAACCATTCATTTTACTCAAAACTATAATAGCACTATTTAGAGACAAAGTTAGAACGACCAGTTCCTTTGCTTTCAAGAGAAAGCGATACCAAACATACATTGTCATTATCCAACATGGCCGCCTGTCAGTCATTTTTTTACCAGATCCATCCAGTACTTCTAAAAATAGCAAAAACAAGACTGGTTAAAGAATTATGATGGTTTGCTAAAGTGAATACGTAAGATGTAAGAAAATCGGGTAATTTTATATGTTAAATATATAATGAAGAGGAGTTCCGAGTAATTTTCCCTGCAGTCGATTATCTAAGAAAAAAAGAGCTATTTTAACCATCTTGATTTTAAAAAGTATTTAAACATAGAATTGATTCTGCTAAAACGTAGTACGAATGACCCCAACCCCACCCAATCTACCCCTTCCAAGTTCTTGATATCATGCTTTCCCAATTTCTCTTTTGGACTACCCAGATTGTTACCTATAGTATCGCTGAAAAGCGCTAAAAACGCACGAGTTGTACCTATAGCCAAATTTATATTCAACTTGCTTTTGTGGACTGATTGGGATTGCCGACGAAAAAAAAATTGTTTCAAGAGCGTATTCTCTTTACTTTACCTGACTATCAAGTCCAGGCAGGAGGAGTACAACGAAGAATAGGACGGCCCATATTTGCGGGTAGGGGAAGTATGTGATAGCCTCTGGATAGGCGACAAACGCAAGCGAGAATCCGCCTACAATAACATAAAGGATTAGTCTAATGAGATCATATTTCCAAAGTCGAAAATATGACAGAATCGGAAGCAAGTAGCTTACAAAACGTTGCAAGAAATGCTAATAAAAAATACCGCTTGAAATTTGATTAGCCCAAAACAGTTTTAATGGAATGTGTAAAGACATTTGTTTTCATATTTAAGTATCAGTAACATTGCCATTTTACCTGTCTGAAATTTGGGTGAAATTGACACCCTTGAGTGTCTTTTTCATCTATCATCTCGCAAAGTTTTGTAATATCAATGAGATCCGTCAGAGAACTATATATACTAGGAGAGCACAGTTTCTTAATGACATTTGAACTTTGCGTCTGAAAAGCAATTTGAAAGAACACTTTGTATGCAATCAAAGCACAAGAAACAAACATATGTAGTACTTAGCAATTTAATTCATTGTTTGGCTCTACTTTATCTCACTCTAAATTATAAAAAGGTGCTATTAACTTGTGTCTTTTGTACAATATTCAACAATTTATATCTAGTTGGACAATTCATTTTTACGTGTTTTGTATTATTTTATTCAAATCTACCAAATAAGATGGAGGTAAAGTAATTTTATAAAAAAATTATTGGAAGATTTCTTAATTTTGAGTTGAGTTACGTAGTTAGAATATGGAACATTTAAAAAGAAATGCGTACCTGAAGTGATGACCTTGTCGAGGGGTATTCCACTTTCGTTGGCGAGTACACCAATCACAGAGAAGACCACAAGACCATTAAATAGCCCATAACATACTGTTACTGTAGTACTGATGACAGAGTCACTGTGAAAACAAACATCACATAACTTGTTCCAGGATCTACATGGTACGAGATATTCAGTACACCTAAATAACTGCAAGGAATCCTGTCACTAATACTGCTACTGTTAGAGCATATCTCATCAATCAAATTAATTAAGTTTCAAAAGAAACATTTTTCAGACAAAAAAAAAACAAAAAAAAACTGCTGATTGTATCTACCAAAACAAATATAGCTCATACCACAAAACTGACATCAGTCACGAACACGGATCATTTAGTGTAAAATAACAACAGAGTTACTAGTTACTAGCGGACATATGTCAGATTGCAGAGATGAACATATTTATCATGATAACGAACATGGGCCATATCATAGAAATAATATCAGAGTTACTATGATAGCAGACACGTGTCAGATCGCAGTGGAGAACATATTCATCATGACAACAAACACGGGCCATATACAGAAAAGACAACCGCTGTACCATGGCATGAAGTTTATATGAAAACGGATACAAACTTATTACCGGAAGCAGTTTGCTGAGAACTTGTTATGACTTCCGTATATAACCAGACCTCCCCAAGCAGGACCTAAGGTGTAGAAAGCCATGAATGCTGCCTCTATCCAAACCTAGGACAAATTAACAGTTTGCAATCAGAATGTATGAGTGACGTTTCTGCGTATCAGATGTTTTAAATCGATCATATGTTATGTTGTTTGCGCTATTACAATTGTGTTTTATACCTGCAGGAAAAAACCGAAACTTTAATATATATTATCCCGTAAATTGATACTGTTGTTCCGTCGGTCCTTTCAAAATATGATATCTAGTCAAAGTTCATTTTTGGCTGCATGATAATTTTGGCCTTTCAGCTCGGGTTAAGGGGTTTATTGTTTGTTTTCAACAAAGATGTATAAAGATTACTTTGACAGTAATTTACACATACCTCTGAGTGGGCGAGGCGGTTGAAATCCGGCGTTATGAAATAGGTCATGCCACTTGTGGCTCCCGGAAGTGTTAAAGCTCTGATCCAAATAATGAAAGTCAGAACCACTGGTGCTATTGCTGTTACATACATCATCTGTGAATGACAGATGACGATTTGTAAGCCAACTGACATCATCATCATGATAAAAGTTATAGTACAAAATGCTTACTTGAAACTGAAAGATATTTAAGCTGTATCCACAAAGAAAAGATTGAAATAAGACAACACAATCCAGCAATCACCATTATATCATTAAAAAGATATTTCTGTTTTGTGTTATAAACATGTTTACCACATTCTACTTCTATTACACAATTGATATGCTGTGAACATTCAAGTGTGTTACTGTTTCTGTTTACACACTTAGTTGAGAAATCAAACATAGGTAACTGTACACCTGTCTTTGTACATAAGCTTGCTAGACCTGTTGTCACCAACAGAATGTGATAATCAACACTATCAAATACATTATCGTACGTTGGTTTGACATTTATATCCCAAAAACGAAGTAATAAAATTTCATTTGATAATATTCGTTTCGTGTGATTTAAACTAAGAGAAAGATATTGTGTAAAAAAAAAAAAAAAAACACTGCATGACACGAACATTGACGGCAAATTCATCATTTTTTTATGCATGAAATTTTCTGGACACAAATTTGGGCATACTGTGCATGAACTTGACGATAAACTCCCGTCGACAACTCGACATTCCCCTTTCGGCCTTTGTGGCAGCCCTGCCGACATCACTACGTGCCAACAACACAGTGCTATAACAGTATCGTTAGCTGATCAGTCCAGCTCGGTTTCCCGAAATCTGTTGGAACACACCTGCCTTGTGGTGTCTTGAATGAAAGAATCTTCGAGAGAATTTTTGTTATCATTAACAATAATTACACACTTGCCTTGACGTTCGACCTCGCCGTGTTATGTCATTCATTGTGAGGTTAATTGAAATGAGCATTCTATTAATAAAATGCATGAAGACTAATATATACATTCTAAAGTTATTTTATGTACAAATATACCATAATAAATATTAGGTGGTAATCGGAAATATATAATAAAGTCGTTTCCACATTTCTGAAATAAAAAGTTATTGGATAAACGAGTTCCTCAAATTAGAGCAAAATTGCGAAGATCCTTCAGAAGGTACACAAAGAATAAATCCTTGTTTTCTGGATGAGTATATTCTGCTATATCGAGATACCCACCATATAAATATTAGTCAATGGAAGAAGTATTACCACATTTGGGAAAAAGATTCAAAACAGTGATACCATCATTCCTACGAAAGCATCGAATACATTAAACATCAAATTGCACAAATTTTGTCTGCAGTATAAAACATATACTCGAATTTGGACCATTGTTGAACCTGGATACATAAAAAACTGAGATATGAACATTGCAATAGAAGCAACTGCTTTGTTAGCGTGCGAACATGGACCTTCTGTACTGTTTCTGACTTATCCAATGTTTTCACGGTGTTATGTTCAAGACGTCTTATAAATAACATTTTTGACTTACCTTACCGATGGACTGAACGCTCTTGACCAATGATAGCCAAATGATTCCATGACATCCGAGTAAATACAGGAGATATTTCCAATTCAAGCTTCCAATATCGTCTATACCGGAGGACAGATTTAGTACTTTGTAGCTGTGAGATTATACGGAAGTAACATTAAGTGAATTGTTTTAAACTGTAATTTGTAATTAATGGAATTCTGTAATCGTTATACTGATATATACGTACTTCCAGAACTCTTCTGCTGACGACATGGCCACAATTGAAACATTGTCCCCACCATTTCCAGTCGATTCTAATGTAGTCGAATTTCCTGACTGGAAAAAGAGAAAACATGGGAAGATAAAATACGTATATGTTAAGAACACAGAACTTACAGATTATGAGAAATTCCAAGTCAGTTAAAATTATAAATGTAATTTGGATTGTGACGAATATCTTTCTCAATGATAAGTACATGTATTAATGAATCTGTCTGAAATGCAGTTCTCACTAAGTTACTATCGGCATTAGAAAGTAACGGATCGAGAATCAAGATACATTTTAATCATTTTCATTAATGGTAATGAGTAGGCTGATTGAAATTCACTAAAGTCATATAATAATGGCTTCAACTCGAATGGACCAATAATAGAAAAAGGTATTGCATTATATGTCATACCGCTAACATGCTGTAGTGGTGGGTGGAGTTAAGAGTGACATTACTATTCGAGTTACTCTCCGACTGGCCATGACCGACACATCCTGGCGTGTTCCACTCGTTCCCACAAGATGCCCATGGAAGCTCGGTCGAAAATGAGGCAACGATATATTCTATGATCCAAGCCTTTTGTAACATAGCGTATGCTAACACAGTCCAGTTGATGACAAGGAACGCAAAACCAAAACCTTGTGGAAAAAGTAAAGATTCAAAATATTTTGGCTAGAATGAAATTGTTCATTTTTATTTCACATTATATTAGTTCGATACCATGTTCTTTTCAATGGTGATTTTCTTTAACTTATATTTCGATAAAACTTCCAATATGGACTGATTACACTGCATTCTGTTGGGTAGTCGGGTGTGCCGTAGTAATGCACTCGCCGTTCACCTAACCGTCCGGGTTTAAATTCCCGGAACGGACATGAAAAGGTACGGGACCACCACTTTGCAGCTCGATGGGCTTTTCCGCTGTACTCCGATTTCCTCATGCATACCTCCCACCCCTCCGTCCATAAATTATGGATTTGTCAAAGCATGCTACGACTTAAATAGATGCAAATGTGAAAATTTTTGTGTTAATTCGCAAGGAAGAATCTTTTTAAAAACTTTCTGAAATAGCGTTATTACTTTTGACTGATGTTTTTACCTTAGTTATTTTTGTTCGTGATTAATATCTTTTTGTGTGCATCGAGGAAACCCCAGGTAGGTAATTTAATCAGTCCTACGGTTGAAAACCTGGTGTCACACATTACCAAGATTACATTACTTACGCTGACCTAGATCAGAATGCAAACTGAAGAATAAGAATAACAACGCAGTGACGTGTATTGTTTTCATGTCTGACTTGCTAATCTTACCTAGGTATTCAAAGTGAGAAAACCATGTGATGTTTTTGCCTACCAAATACGAATATTTTAGCAGTCAACCGCTAAATCTCTTTTATGGCCTCGTGATCATTATAATTACAGCGCAGTGAACTTTTGGGTAAAGATTGATGATGTGCACTCTCCCATTGTGAAAACTTAGGAGGTAGGCAGTTACTACACTTACTACTGCACCATCCTGGCTACATAAAGGACTTGAAACCGCTAGCTGATAAAACATTCATCTTATAAGATATTTTTTGTTAAATAGTGTAACTGAATAGGTACTGTATGGTTCAACAACTTTTAACTAGTGAATGTTAGGAGACTTGAATATGTTTTGTGTAAAATTACCCGTCTCGTAAAACCACGGCATCTTTAGAGAGTTTCAGTTGCTAATCATGTTTTATGAGGTAAGTGATGACATATATAAAAAAAGATTTAAAAAAAGTTTGGTTTTATATCGTTTAGTGTCCTATTAACAGACAACAGCCAAGGTCATTAAAGGACGGCCTCCCTAGGTTTGCAAGTGTGTGAATCTGTAGTTGAAAATACAAATCAGATTCCATTTGTTTTTGAGTAGTTGAGAAGGACAAATCAGGTGTCATTTGTTTTTGAGTAGTTGAGAAGGACAAATCAGGTGCCATTTGTTTTTGAGTAGTTGAGAAGGACAAATAAGGTGTCATTTGTTTTTGAGTAGTTGAGAAGGACAAATTAGATGCCATTTGTTTTTGAGTAGTTGAGAAGGACAAATAAGGTGTCATTTGTTTTTGAGTAGTTGAGAAGGACAAATTAGATGCCATTTGTTTTTGAGTAGTTGAGAAGGACAAATCAGATGCCATTTGTTTTTGAGTAGTTGAGAAGGACAAATCAGAACAGTAGTTGAGAAGGACAAATCAGATGACATTTGTTTTTGAGTAGTTGAGAAGGACAAATCAGATGCCATTTGTTTTTGAGTAGTTGAGAAGGACAAATCAGATGCCATTTGTTTTTGAGTAGTTGACGACAAATCAGATTCCATTTGTTTTTGAGTAGTTGAGGACAAATCAGATGCCATTTGTTTTTGAGTAGTTGAGGACAAATCAGATGCCATTTGCTTTTGAGTAGTTGAGAACAAATCAGATGCCATTTGTTTTTGAGTAGTTGAGAAGGAGAAATCAGATTCCATTTGTTTTTGAGTAGTTGAGAAGGACAAACCATATGCCATTTGTTTTTGAGTAGTTGAGAAGGACAAATCAGATGCCATTTGTTTTTGGGTAGTTGAGAAGGACAAACCATATGCCATTTGTTTTTGAGTAGTTGAGAAGGACAAATCAGATTCCATTTGTTTTTGAGTAGTTGAGAAGGACAAATCAGATTCCATTTGTTTTTGAGTAGTTGAGAAGGACAAATCAGATTCCATTTGTTTTTGAGTAGTTGAGGACAAATCAGATTTCATTTGTTTTTGAGTAGTTAAGAAGGACAAAACAGATGTCAGATGAGAAGGACAAATCAGATGCCATTTGTTTTTGAGTAGTTGAGAAGGAGAAATCAGATTCCATTTGTTTTTGAGTAGTTGAGAAGGACAAATCAGATGCCATTTGTTTTTGAGTAGTTGAGGACAAATCAGATTTCATTTGTTTTTGAGTAGTTGAGGACAAATCAGATTCCATTTGTTTTTGAGTAGTTGAGGACAAATCAGATTTCATTTGTTTTTGAGTAGTTAAGAAGGACAAAACAGATGTCATTTGTTTTTGAGTAGTTGAGAAGGACAAATCAGATGCCATTTGTTTTTGAGTAGTTGAGGACAAATCAGATGCCATTTGTTTTTGAGTAGTTGAGAACAAATCAGATGCCATTTGTTTTTGAGTAGTTGAGAACAAATTAGATGCCATTTGTTTTTGAGTAGTTGAGAAGGACAAATCAGATGACATTTGTTTTTGAGTAGTTGAGAAGGACAAACCATATGCCATTTGTTTTTGAGTAGTTGAGAAGAGGCCATCTATTCCTCCTGTTGATTTATTTCAATGCGTGCCTTTAGTATGTGAAAACAGAAATCCAGTAAGATTATGTACCTGGTAGCCTTTTAATCATATACAGATTTAATTAGATGAAAAAAATAAACGGTATAGAGATTACATGGTCAGTGTCTTAAAATATATGCCGTATTTCGGCGAGGGTGAAAAGAAATACAAAAAATCATGAGCCTCTGGTGAGCCATATTTGTCTTTCTGACTAAACACTTTGTCATTTGTTACCAAGCTTTGCAGCACTTTCAAGTTGTCTGTGTTACATTGCTTGATATGAGAGTGTTATGTTCGTTAAAAGGTTAAAAACATGCTTATATCGAACCATTTGTAAAGTATCGATAGTTTTGTCATACATAATACTGAACGTGCTAAAAGTGTACATATTACCTCGCTTGTTTTATCATCTTTATTGCGTATATACGACATACCTCTAAATAATGGGCACATGTCCCAAACGCGCCATGTTCCTTTCGCAGAAAACTGTGACGTCATTATTTCTAGGAAGTACAACGGAATTCCACACACCATTAGGAAAAAGATGAAAGGTATCAAAAAGGCACCTGAAAGTATCAAAGTATTTAGATAGACAAAGTGTTAAAAACATCCCTGTTGATTCGATGAATCAGGTTACTGTTTTCATCAATCACTTCCAGAGTGCGGTACCTTACATAACAAGTCTACAAACGTCTTACGCCATTCCAAGATCCTCAAAAAACGTGTTTGTGTCAAATGAAATAGTTCATTACTTTTTTCTTATTTGTATCAGTATTTTGAAACTTTTGAAAATGAGGCAGATATTTTGTTGTGCCATTTTAAATTCTTAAGTTAACGCCATTGTCCATATTTGGATATCGGAATATCACTCTTCAGATGAAACCCAAATAAAAGAACCAATCCTGTGAGATTTTGTTCGGTATGAAGCGGACAGACTGTTAATTTTTCGCATTAAGTTTGTCACTCTCTATTTGTAATAGCCCGTGGCTTCTGAAAAGCAAAGACGTTAACATACAATGAACAGTTGCGACTTCTAATCTTTACAGTACTGAACGTTAGGTAATACACAACTACCCTATCATTTCACATAGCATGAAATGAAACATACCTCCTCCATTCCTGTAGGTGATGTAAGGAACTCGCCAAATATCTGTTAGTCCCAACGAGTAACCAAGAAGAGAGATGATAAATTCCTTTCTTGACGACCATTTTAGTCGACTAGCTTCTGCCAACACCTGTATTTCCTCACCATCACGAGCAGTTTCTTTACTTTCCATTGACACGGTGAATATAGACAATCACGGTAGAAACACCTTGATACAATAATCCCACCTGCACACACCTTATACTTCAACATATATTACAGCAGATTTGATATGCATGAAAACACATGGGTACACAAGAGGGCGTGACTAACGTATGTGTATTCCATAACACTATATTAATTATGATAGAAATACATATGAAAATGGGCACCCGTTGGAAGTGGGCAATGTGTCGTTTTTTCAACTTTGATAATGTAACCGGCCAGCCGAGAAAAAAGGACAATATAAGTAGTGAAGTTAATGTCAGATTGGCAATCATATAAGTATGCAAATGTAAATAACATTGCTATTCATACAGAACGATTGTCCAGAATTTATCCATGGTTCCCAATTGTTGGCCCCTACGGTCTGATACCGGATATCATCCCCGCCCCTAAGGTAAACGCGTTGAAATAGTCGTGATCATCATCATATCACTACATCTGTTAGGATTGTAAAGACAAACACACGCATGTCTACTGCTTATGCATATCACATCACCACCATTTACCTAGGCGAGGGGCGGTACTCTCCAGATATCTAACATCTCTCTTATTGACTATTTCGACAACGATAAGTTTAATTAGTTTGAGGGCACCAAAATCCAGACTGCATGCGTCTAGGTGTATATCAGGCTTTTGGGGTAGAGACACTGTTATGAACTAAGCCTTGAAATATTTTTAAAACTGCTTCTTAATCTGATTAGAGACCAATCCCTTGCGCGTCACAATAATATATAGTCGCTTGCTGATTTATTCATGCAGAGACATAATCAGTCCGGCTTGGAATAAGGCGGGTTGTCTTCATATCATTGTTCCGACTGGTAAGGATAAGATGGTTTTAGTTTGAGAATTGTATTATGTGAATCGTTCATATGGAGGTTTTATTTTTATTATTTCTTAACATTATCAATACTTCAGTAACCTTCTGTCCCCACGATTGTCTGGTATACATAAACAATATGAAACAAGAAACAAACGCAAATGTCTATAAAAAGCACAAGACTTTTCATTGATGATAGTGTTTTGGACTGGAAACTTTAGCTCAGTATAGCCATTCGTTAAGAATAAACACAATAGAATATCACTACTAAATTGTGCAACACAAATAGACGAACAATGATAACGTTTCACCATTCTGAAAGGACATACGTACATAATACCCTTGCAGCATTTGGGTGATATCTTGATATATCAAAGGTATGTATATGATGAAGTGGCAGAATCTAAAAATTGACAGGATACATGCTGATATAGCAAAATCTAAACCAAAACTTATGAAGTGTTAGCAACGTTAATTGCAAAATCAGACATCAGTATAGAATGTCTGAACCTTAGACTGATCTGATGACAGATTGTAGTATATACAAAAACATGCATCGCATACTGGACTAATATCAAAATAACTAAATTACCATATTAGTGAATATAATAAGTTGTAAACAAAAATGTTTCAACGAAGACGATTATTACAAAATTATTTAAGCCTCACTAAGATCATGCATTACACATAAATTGTTTTGTTGTTATGGTACCAGACAGGCTCAAACTACATGCCGTTTCTATAATTTTGTTAATGATAGAGATTGGTTGTCCGTTGCCAATGTTCATTGCTCAGCTGTTAGTGACGCAGATTGCTTGTACGTTGCCGATGTAGACATGTTGCACAAGCGAGTTCTGTTCTCTGACCGAGATCAACCAAAATCTACAAAATCGGCACTTTCTTATCTTTGTTTTGCTGTCAGCATAAGAGTTAGCTTTATAAAGTGATCTGTTGGAGTGTCATACTACCGGGCCCAGGGTTATGATAATCCACAAATCACACTACTGAACCGTTCTTATTTTACATCCATCATCTTATCTGTAGACACCTGCTTTATACGGCCTTAGTTGTTGTGAGGACGGTTTTTAAACATACCCTCATCATTTGTGCACATCTTCTATATACAACTTTAGCTGTTTTAAAGACGGCTTTCAAAACCACTTCATATCATCTGTTGACACGGTTTGCATGGCCTTAGATGTTGTGAAAACGACATTTCATCAATAACATATCCGATGTCATGTCGGCAGTTGATAGAAAATCGAGTAACAAGCAAAACTCAAAGAAAGAAGAAAATATTTATTGGAATGATGAATTTTAAGCATATCTATTTATACTTCACACAGTTTGTCCTTAAGACTGTTCTGATCAAATTAGTAATCATATTGAACGTGCTAGTCTCTGTTGATTGCGCACATTTCAGAGCTTCATCAGGAGAAAGCTTGTATAATCCCCCATGTCCCGTCAAATTAAAATAGGCTAAACTCTTTAAGGATCGTTTTGAGATACGTTCTGAAGTTTGGTTACTGAAATTGGCGTTTTCATTTGCAGGACCCCATTCCGCCGAGGGCTTTAAAGGGACAGAAATCTCTGTGAAGTAAAATCAGCTGGCATTAAGGAAAATATTGCACAAAAGAAAATTAACATCACTATCAGACCATGATAATTTAACAGCATTGACACAAATTTGATTTCAGCAACAATCGCATGACACCAAATTAATGCGGATATTCATATTTTCCATAGGATAGCGGTTTGTATTTAAATACGCTCAAGAGGAGGACTAAAATCTGGAAAAATGATGGGGTAACAAAAATCAAAATTCAAGTCGTATAGAAATAAAACTAAAGTAGAGAATGTAGCCTGACGTGTTAACTGTAAAGGTGATTTTTTTTCCGTGGTTCAAAATAAGGTTTTAACGGTTTTACCCAAAACAACTTGTAGTTAGTTTTAATAGTGTTTCTATATTTGGTATACGTGATGATAGCGCTTATAATTTTCAGCAACCATTTTCCGAGTACATATTATGATCGCTAATGCCGCTTAATGTGTCATATTTGATCCGATCCCAACATATTTAAATTGCAAATGCGTCGTTTGACATGTCTGATTTGCCATGAAAATTACATGCATTGTGCTTAGTATGTTCATCTTCACATCAAATATGTTGACCACGAACGTTGAACATACCCACCAGAATTTGAAATCAAGGACATGACAATTTTTTCTACAACATGCATTGTGCTTCATATGTTTGTCTTAACAACACATTTACTGACCACGTCCATCATTTATATTTACCAGAGTCATGTGATTTTTCAGTGATTCCGGAGATCTAACATCGAGGAAAGGTTGGTTATGAGTTTCATTGTTTTCGGAAGAGAATTTCAATATAAGATTTTTTCGACTGGTCTGAAGATTTTTGAAATTATGATTATTTGGAGACGAATTTAAGGAAAAAACAGATCAAAATCATTTGCAAAACCGATTTTCCATTGTTTTCAGATATCCAGTCGATTTTAAGGATGTTTTACCACTGATTCGTTTAATGATATCCCATTTTTTGTGAATGAATTGGAATTTACCTTGGACACATAAAATCTCAAAACTGCTTAAGTTATCACTTGTGGGGTTGTTTTTGAATTGTCTCAAGGCGATTTTCTTTTATTGATAGCTTTATCAAAATCTTCATTAATCAAAGATTTGGTATTGTATTTTCATGTTGGCTTTTGGCATACATTCTTTGATTACCTTAAGACGTTCGGTAGTGAAGGATTATGTTTGGTCTTCTAAATTCAGGGAATTAATGGTTTTAGAATTGTGGTACTGAGATGTTCAAATTTATTCCAATCTGGTTTATATAATTTCAAATGGTCGCTCTCTGTGGATCCACAATTCCTTAGAAAATAGTCGCTTCCACAGAGATCGTCATGTACCGTCCATTCGTAATTGAGTCCCAAAATTGGGTAGCATAAATGAAGGAGTATGAATGTTTCGTGTGTGCCTTTAAGTTGGAGATTTATTATTTGAAAAGACACGTCCTGGTAAGACTGAAATGTTAAACGTAACGGATCCTGCCATCTCGCTTCACCCTGATCCGTTTAACATAGTTCACCTTCTGTTGTTCCCTTGAACTAACTGAGTATGTTATTCTCATTCTCTCCCTGAAGAGATGGACAGAGTATTTATATATATATATATATGTATATATATATATATGTGTGTGTGTGTGTGTGTGTGTGTGTGTGTGTGTGTGTGTGTGTGTGTGTGTGTGTGGTGTGTGTGTGTGTGTGTGTGTGTATGAGGGTGTGTGTGTGTGTGTGTGTGTGTGTGTGTGTGTGTGTGTATTCAGAGAGGGATGAAGGGCAACGTGGACTGTTCTGTCAGAACATTTGGTCGTTCCTAAGAGGTTCTTTGCTTGTGACAGATGGATTACTTCCACCAGGAGTTCGTCAGAACGTAATTTGTCAACACCTTTTGGAGAACTGCATGTTGAGAATATGGTATTTTCTTTTACAAATGGTGAAACCGATGATATTGGTTTATCTTTTTGCAATGATCTTATTACGTCAATTGATTGAAATCAAATCATGGTCATCTTCTGAGTCTGATGATGAAGGTTTATTATTTATTTATTTTCTAGATTTAATTTTTTATATTGTTTTCCATAATTAGGTGTTCATTACCAATTCTCCTCAACTACCTCGGAGTCAAACAAAGTGACACAGACAGTATACTCGTAAGAATAGAACTCTCTTAATTGACCCTTAAGCCACCTTAGGGCCGCAATTGCCACCCGTCTTACAGAAATAGAGGCCAAAGTGATTTATTGGGGAAGATAATACAATATTGCTGGTAAGGAGATTATTTAAAGCGCAAACCACAAAAATGCTCAATCACAAGGATCCTTCTATGGTAATTTAATAACGGCCTCCTGATGTATGCGAGGCGAGGGCATGTTTTTTGCTGCGATAATATTCAAACTTACACCATCTGTTATTACTGCATACTTTGACAACAATCAAGTCAAATGATTTGCAGCAAAAATCCTGAAATTTCATCTTCTTGGTTTTATTCCTATGTCTTCTCTCATCACTGGAGATGTTTTCCAAATCTTCAATAACAGTGTTGCTGAGAAAAGAATTCGCTGTATCATTAGAATTAGAGAATGACACTTTTTTCCAAAAAGTGAATTTCATTGAGCAAAAGTCACTAGAATAAATACATGATAAGCCTTCGTCAAAAGCATCATAACAATATTATTTGTAACCGCCACTTGTACATGTAATCAAGTAAGCTTTTAGTAGTTGATCTATGGTAAGCAAGTGTTCGATCACATCATGGAGAAAACATACTAACGTCTTTCCTATAACCTTGTTGGGTGTAATGGTCTTACATGTATTCGGAAGCAGACTAATAGAGCATACATTTCTTTGTACGATTTGCAACAGTCATTTTGATGGCAAAGTCGCAAATGAGTAAAATTACCATACATTTCATATGGACGAGATTTTTTACCTCAATACATTATGGAAATGTATGTATTTTACATCAGTCAGGACTAGGTCATATATATGAACATGGTTAGTGCATGCTGTAAACTTTTGTGCGATTTTTTAAAAAGATTTAACAACCTTTTTAAGGTTTGAACTCCATCTTGTTTAGTATAACTCTATTAATTCAAGTGGAACGGAATGACCACCATCTTTCTGTCCATACAATTTTGTATATTATTGAGCTGATGTATTCCAACTTGTATTGGTCACTCTTGTTAGTACGAAAAATACCAAGGTAGTCTTCATACTTTTTTCACGTCATTCGGGAATTTAGCCTCGGACGTTTATGTGAAAGCAAGTGCGTTACCACTGCGCCACATGACAACCCTGGCAATAAAATCGGCAGAGTTCTCATCATCTTGCCATGATCGTTGACTTCATCGGTGAAACTTCAGAAACTGGAGACCTTAATTCTCGCTTCGTTACTCTTCTCATTAGGATCTGACAACATACGTGAACGGGTCATGTTCTAATGACCTTTGCACCCTCTGGACTTCACACATGTCGAATATTTTAACAGACAATTTCATCAGCACAAAATTTAGATAAATTTTATTAAAAACTAGATCCTAGTTTTCTCTCTGTTACTCTCCGAGTAGGAACGACAAAATGTTTCTGAATCTTAATGGGATCGACAACATTCTTGATAACACTTTAGACCTAATCAGTATCAACACTCCAAGTCAAGACACGGGGGCATCTCATTATATGACGCGGTATTCCTTGAACTTTGTCATGTCCCCTTGAAAATCATACAAAAACACTATAATGTACAAAACTATCAAACACCAATTCCAAAAGTTATCTGAGATACATTTTGGAACTCTAAAGAAGACATTGTTTCTCCCAAAGCTGACATTAATGCAATTAAACCTATGAAAACGTTCTTTACATCCATAAAGCACAAAACCCGGTTACATTGGAGTGGATTTTCTTAAACAGGATGGATACATGATTTAACCTTCAAATAAAGCAAATACACCCATCCCAATTTCATTCAATGTTTTCTACTTCTGACGAAATCAGTATGCATACTCCAGACCATGACTCTGTAATTCCTCTTTTCCACATAACACCCAGGGATATTAAAAAACTCGTCCTCAAGATAGACAGCAACAACGCTACATTACCAGATTTCATAAAGTCTCGAGTCCTCAAAGACGTCGCTACCGAAATATCACCAATCTTTTGTCTCATCTTCCAAAGACCTCTCGATACCGGTCACATTGCACGTGACAATATTTACCCTAATGGGTCCTGCCCTTCTGCGAGATTTTTGCTCTATTTACTCAGTTTACTACACCTATTTTTCCATAATCACTGTCTTCAGTTGAGCGTTCACCCCTGTACAAAGGGCGTTGGGTCCTAGCCAAGACATATCAAACCTGTCATAATTGTAATGTTGATTAGTTTGAGTTTGCTTGCTAACATATTCCATACCTTAAGGATTACGATCACTGTCGTTCTCTGCACTCTTTGAACGTGTGCGACACCTTGTGGACAAGACAAAAATATTAGTTTGATCATTTGATGTACATCAAACGAAAATCGAGGTTGTATAGCGGTATATTGTAACTGCTTTGAAGTTTGGTGTCGTTCCTTTGTAATTTTCTAAAGGAGCGTATCAGCCTGTGATTGGTCATCTTCATCCTCAATGCCTTCAGTTTTGCCATGACAGGGGTGCAGAGAGCGAAAGGGATATTAACGACTGGAAAATCGGGGTTGCTAGCTTGGTCCTTCAGCAGTAAATTCATACGTGGTAGCACATCAAGTCGGCTTCAAAGTGGGCTTGTATCTAGTATAATCAATTATTCTTCTTATTTTGTTTAATCACTATGTATATTAGAAAATGAATTGCATAGTGCACATGCCTTAATAATTGAATTTAAGTGTTTAAATCTCAGTATTATAGTAATATAACGATTAGGGTGCACGTTGGATGATGTAACCGTGTTGCTCAACCTCGACGAGGCCATCGTTAAATGATCATAGGATAGAACGTTAAACGATTGATAACCAAACGGAATTACTTTAGGTATGCATATGCAATGAACATCAAGAAATTAACAACATTTTAACATCACCATAATCCAAACTCAAATTCCAAGTTACTAAGGCAAAATATGAACTAAAGAACAATTTACATGGATACTTCTGAAAAAGAGAATAAGACCGGATTATCCATGAGAGTAAGTGTCTTCTGCTTCATGGTTGACACCCGTTGTCAATCAAAGTAAGCAATGTTACGTTCTCAAATTAGAACACGGTATACAATAACGCAACCCAAAGGCAAACTAACGAACATTAAATAAGTCAAGCGTCTTATCACACAAGAAATAGAATGTTTCTAAATGAGATCAATATGGCGACCAAAAAACTTAACAAGTTTTATCAACTAATGTTTTAAGCAGTTTTATCTCAACTCCAGCAGGGTAAGCTTATGGCGTATCGCCGGGTTCGTCTGTAGACTTTTCTTATTAATTGTTATACCAGTCATGAACCATAAAACATATTTTGTCCAGTTTGGGCATGGAGCTTCCTTTGGGGGGGAGGATCAATTATAAACGATTAATGAACAAAGAGTTGTTATTTAAAACGGTAGCTCTGTTGACTTAATCAATCGGATGTCAATGATTAAAGTACAAATGTGGGATTAAGATATAGCAAAAGCAAAAAAAATACCGTTTTACCATTTTGAAAAAAATATGATTATACACTGAATAATATGTAGTTACTGGTCATATGTATTTTGTTCCTGTACTTTCAACACATTACACCTGGATGTCTTCATGAAGGGTGTCCATCTCAGAGTTGTCGCCTCCAAATTCTGTAGAGAACTTGTCACATCCTCCAAGACCTGTCAAATTATATTTGGCCAACCTCTTGTATGATCTTTTGTAGCTCCCTTCCAATTTTCTATAGACATGTTTTACTTTCTCTTCTGAGGGTTCCCAATATACCGATGGTGTCAGCAAGGATGCAAATCTCTGCAAAATTACTATAAATCAAAACACTTTGCGAAGGATTGACTGCATTTCAATTAGTCGGATAACAAATTCAATTTACTTTCCTCTTTCTCTTCTTCAAAAAAAAGCAATGCTCGTCAAAATAAATCTTCTCAAGACAACGAAATACGAGACACAAACATAAAATGTACTGAATGCAAACGAATGCAATGTCAAATACGTATACATCTTTGCTGATTGTATGTAACGCTTCAATCGGATAATAGTGATACAGAAACTATCCAATATACAATTGATACGGACATGACATGATCTAAAATATCGAACATCATAACAAAAACATTGTTACATTGATGAGGTTTTGGTCCCACCTACTGATAACCACGTAATAGTTTTCAGAGGAACGCAATATTCCTTCATGAAGACCACAACTTGTTTTGTTCTCAGTGTCCTTAAAGTCCTTCAAGCCACATGCCTTCATATGACGCTGGTAGAACCAACATGAAACAAGACTACTATTGCATTACCCTTCTTGTAAGGGCGTCAGGCGTAGGATGCTATCGCTAAATTCATATATTAGATACTCCTATTCATATAAATGTTTAAGCAGTGCAAAATATATTGACAACCATACACTATCAAACAAGGCTAGTTTTACTTCGCTGTCCTTTAACACACAGGAGGTATTTCTGTCATAGCTTCAAAAATTGAATACACAAACATCCGCATAGACAACAAGGAAAAGGTTAAAATGTTTTATCTAATTTATCATTACTCTTTCTTATGTAAGCTTTATAAAGAGCGAACTAACGTCTTTTTCAACTTTTTATCCTCCCTATATTAACCTTAGTGTAATTTTCGGTGTCAGGTAATTGACAGGACATTAAGACTATGCTCACTTTAATCATATCCGGTTAATCTATCAATAACCAGAATATTATTCAGTCCATATTGTTGTATAAAGTCGTTTTGAAGTCTCTATAAAAACCTAGTTTCTATGGAAATTTCACTCTTACATCCACATTTGATATCACTGAAACTACTATTAAACATACTTCCTTCAGTGAGCCGTTCTGGTTCTTTATCATCCATATCATATAAATCAAGCTCGGGATAATGGGTATTAGGGCGAAACACCATCCGATTCCTTCGGCGTAGTCAGGGTACTGGTAAGAGCCATACGTTGGCGGTTTGTACTTGAATATGCTGACCACGACTAAAAACTGAAAGTATGATGTACCATAATTTGTTGAACTGAAAAAACTTAAGCATTAAAACCGAGTACAGGTGAGATACAAAGATTGGGCTGCTTTCCCGATCGGTTAATCGTAAGAGGGAACTAAACTCCGTATGTTCAGGAACGGTTTGTCTTTTACTTTCCCAAGGGCAGATCACGAAAATGGTAAAATCTAACACAATTCTAATGCTCATTCTTCGACGTTACCATTTCTAGCAAAATCTAGAATAGCAAGTAAGATAGAATTTATTTTATATGTGGCACAAGAGAAATAGCAAATAAAGTTTGCTCTTCTCCTTTCCATGACACTGTACAAGAAGGCATACAAGAAACATTATACTTTCCTGCTCCTGCACAGAGGAGAATTAGATAGAAAAGTTGTCCAAATCATTGTTAACGTTTTCCCAATCGGATAGATACTTGTTTGCCTTTAATAGCAACAACACTTGGCATTTACTAACCATTAGAATAGTTGGCGTGATGAAGGCCGTTGAGACTCTTACAAACATCGGCAGTGGTCTTCCAATCATCAGGAAGAAATCCCGGCTTAACCTGTCGCCGCCTGAAATAATTTGCATTAATATTCGTCAGAAAACATTTTCCACAAACTTCACAATAGTCCTTAAATAGGATTTAAAAAATTTCCAGAAAGAAACACCTGCTAATGACAATCTTCCTATTAATGATATGGTGAGATATCAACGGGACTGGAGGTCAGATAATATGGATATTTACATTGACACTAGTCCTTTTTGTCATATCAATATATGATTCTTAAGGAATAAAAAAGAATGATATGATGCTGAATTTTCGTATGCGTTTTTTTGTGTTTCCAAAACCCAATACCATAATTTTATTTCTGACAATACTTTATCTGGAGTCTGATGAACTCTTCCTTGGGTTGAAATAACCACATGGTAAACCTATTCTTATCGGTTGTATCTGCAGATCTTCAAATTCACCTGTAACCATGATTGTATTGTTTATTTAGAAAGGGAAGTAATCCTGCTGGGATATTGATCAAGCCATATTAAATTTTAATCCCAATTCTCATCTTCACGTGATTTATTGAAATATGGATCACAATATACTGGATTACAAAACTGCTTACTGAACCTACCAAGACTGATTAACGAGGCTTGATATTCTAATTACTAACAACTTAGTAAAACCTCTGTCCTCACTCCCTACTGTCCTGTTAGCGCAAACTTATATTTAACATCTAATAAACCTACTTAAAAAAACTTTTGAACAGCTGCAGTAAGATCTTATGAAAAAATCTAGAAAACAAAGTAATCAGGGAAAGACATTGTTTCATTCGGAGATGCCAAAGAAAAAGACAACAATTGTCTCACTGATGAAACTACTATCCCTGAAAAATGGTGACGAGATGCCATCCTTGAAAATGTTCATGCTATACCGGTGTCCCGTCCAACTATAGACCAAACACTCTGCTAATCCTTTCTAAAAGGTCCCTCTCGAGTTACAATGTCTCGCTAAAAACAGTTAAAAAATAACGGCATAAGTAACAACATGGTGAAGTGGTTTTCATCTTTCCGACCAGAGTGGTCGTAGAGGGATAACTTGAAAACATTGCTGGCAAGGATAACTTAAGGCAAAGTTTGTTTTCATTAAGTATGTAATATGAAATAATTTGCTTTGTATGCTTTATGGTCTGATTGAGGGAAACAGATATGAAGCTGAATTTTCAATTTTCAAAATATTTTATTAATACAAAAACAAATTGCATTAATAGGATCGGACAGCAGGCATAAGCCTATATAAGTCCTCTCCGAAGACAACACAGGTGGTCAGACAGTTATAGAATAGAATAAACATGTATACAGACATCAGTCTTTAGCACACTTTCATACATACATACATACATACATACATACATACATACATACATACATAACATACATACATACATGCATGCATGCATGCAGACAGACAGACAGATAGACAGAGACAGACAGACAGACAGACAGATATACAGACAGACAACTACTGAGTTTTATGTAATTAATGACTGTGGGAGAGATAACTCTTATTCATTTTGGTAACTAGACATAGTTAGTAAAAAGATATAAAATAATCCAATCTGTAGAATTTAGTAGTTGTTAAATGAAATAAATGCACATTTGGTATACTTGTTCCTCAATATAGACAGGATTTGGGTCATAAGAGTCCATGGTAGTTAAGTTGACCCTCTTCCCATCCAATGGAGAGGCAAGTATACCTGTATGTGCATTATTGTTGAATAGAATTATTTTTCCCAAATATAAAGGATTTTCTGTTCTAGAATTACTAGTGAGTTATATTCCTTTTTATGAATCGTTTTGAGATATTAAACCAGATTATCAGATTATGAAGCCGAATTCGAATTATGACCTACGAAAAATATCTGTTTGTGCAAAAAAGGGGAATCCTTTTAAGTCCACTTTTGACGTTCCACTGTCCTCTGAACATGTTAGTATCCTTGTTTTGGTATTATTCTCTCTAAATCGTGTTTATATGACCTAAAAAATTGACAAAAAGTATATTATTCCCACTATGATATTCCTACCACAAAAATGTACCTACCGTATATCCAGGCAAATATGATGGACTCGGTCACAGCTATGAGTAAAATACTCCATGTGGCAGTATACCAGTCTATCAGTTGGAATATGTAAACGCCAGCCTACATAAACAGAAATTATTTCTTATTATCATGTATTTTTGCAGTGTTGCATTTCGGCCAATAGTCCTGTACAACAGGTCGATGCGTAGGAATGCAATGAACATTAATTTGCAGGATAAAAGATTCGTAGATACCCTCAAAATGAATACAGGACTGTCAACAACTACATCTACACATGCATTGTCAATGTTTGTTGAAGAAATCCGACATATTTGTACCGATGACACGTTCCACTACTGATTCAATAAACACTTACAATATTCACTAATGTGTGATATTAATTTCTGTCTTTCATACAAGATTATTTCACCAGTTACAATATGAAATCATACTGTCGTATAAGGTCAAATGCGCAGTATGCCTTATCCATTAAAGATACCCAAAAACTAAAGCAAGACTAGAAACCAGACTCAAACTTCATAAATCTTTGCAGATATGGTGAAATCAAATGATTTGCATGAATGAAATAAAGAAAGGGTGAATGCGTACTAAAATTGTGTTTTTTATGATCCCAGGGTCCTATACTTACCCATAAGAAGGGATTTAATTTTGCAGTAGTTTATGAAGGATAATTGCACTTCCAGAGTAAATTGTTAAATTACAAAAGTACCATTGGAAAGATTTCAAGTTTATTTGTGTAGGATGACAGTTTGATAGTATGTATACGTTGATAATGGCTGACCATAAGGGGCTGATGGACACAACCACACGCGTCAAAATGACCCATATTTCAAAAAAATCTTCTCAACAGCCAAATATGGTGGAATCAAATGATGTTCATGGATTGAAGGGTCTTAAGGTACTTTATTGTGAATTTAATGACTACACAATCTCACATTTCAACCCAAGGGGGTAAAGTTCAATACATTTATAATGAAAAATTTGCATATTTCGTTTAATTCCATTGGAAATATTTAAAACTCAGATGTATCTTCTAAAATCCATTGAGAAAATACCAACATGGCAATATAATAATAATACAAACTCAAATTCCAAACCAGGACACAACTAGAACAATAGAAAGCGAGACAGCTCAGCGCATTATACACTGACTACTGCAAGATAGGTATACAGTGGAGGATTTGAAGCATATTACACATTTTCTCCATTAAATATTATCTTTATGCTTGATGACTAAACACGAATAGAAGATTTTTAATGCATTACATGGATCATTGTCAAAGAACATATACAGTTGCCCTTTGATTCTTTTAAAGTGAGCCTATCTAATTGTGATTTATCGATAAAACAAAAGGTTCAATGGGGCCCTTAGCGCTCACCTGGTATATATTAGGTAAAAAATACTCAAAATTGACAATGTTTATACATTTACATAAGTTATGCATATTTTGAAAGGTTACCATGGGTACCATAGCTGCAATAACAAATAAAAAAGTTGATCCCCTGTGACCTTGAAGGTCAAGTTAATTTCCGTTTTCCTAAGAACATATCAGCCAAATATCATGCCTCTAGGCCTTTTAGAGCTTAAGACGTTTAAATGTATTTAGCAAATTTGACCACTGTGACCTTGTGACCCTTCGGGTCAGGTGTGCTATAAATGGGTGAAAGGCGGCCACCATAGATTCCGAAGGTTGGATTTTGTTAAATTTGGTTGATCTTTTAATAGAAAGAGGTATGGTGCTTTACCGTGACGGAGCACCTATTTCAAGTTCATCGCCTTGGACAATCTAAATGTTTATGACTTATGACGACAGGTAAACGTGCATTCGGAGTCACAGTGTCTAATATATAAAACATGTACGTCTAGAAAGTGGTGTGTTTAACTATATGTCGCTGGCGATTTTCTGATAAAAGTTGGAAAATGTACAAGAAAAGGCAAAACTGTATATTCATCCAATGACTTGATTACTCCTTAATATACGATCATGAAGCCACATAGAACGTTGCAATGACATTCTACCATCCTAGAACTCTGTGCCACTAGCATTATCATGTAACTCATCGGCTGCATTAGGGTTTGGGAGAGTAGCGGAAATGATTAAAACTATGAATAATTAAGTTAAAGGACACTTGTCACAAAAAGAAGATTATTAGAAATGTGTATTGGAATAACATAATATCTTTATTCCATTAGCTGAGATAGAACTGGGTACCTCCCGAAAATCCCATTTACGTGGGAGTATTGTCTTACTGTTTGTGCTATATACACTGATGAAGAAATGGATGACAATTAAATGGTAAATTTGATGTTGAAAGCATGAGCATTTAACATTGTTTGGTCACATCTGATTTTTTATTTTTTTTAGCGCACGCTTATACCAACTTTTTGTATAGGATCCAAGTAAGATTTCATTACATGGATAGGTTCAGTTGTCTAAAAGTTGGAACATATGGTGTGTGCATTCGAAGCTGGGGAAACCCCCATGTTTTAGTGCATCTTGCTTCAGGTAGCAACTATCTGTGAAAAGAACATATGACACATATCCAAGATAGTTTTTCTGGTAATTGATATTTGGATATTGCGATTACCTATCCGAAATCTTCGAAATCGAATATTCATTTTTCAATTTTACAGTTGGTCACATTTAGATCAAATTAGACGGTAACACGCCACAGGAAGATACAGCAGAGCCAAATAATGAATTAAACTGCAGCATACAGTTGTTCCATCCTTCTAGGACTCGTCAGTGATGCTAAGGGCCTATATTTTGAAGCCTAGGAGGCTATTAAGAAACTAAAGTGATAAAAAAGTCATACTGTAGATGCAGCACCCCAGAATTAAGTAAATTTGAAAATGAAATAAATGTACAAAACTTCCGTTAAAGTCATACCTGTGAGGCCAGAGGGATTCCACAAATAAAAGTTACCACTGTCATTCCGGTAAGAAGAGGAATTCTTCTTTTCCCAATGGTTTTGGGGAAAACCTCCTCAATTACACAAAGGACTGGCTCCATTACTATTGCCTGGCAATGTATCAAGATATACAGTAAGGACAGAGTATTCCACACAATGTAATTTCTTTCTTTCAAGACCTACAATGAAATCGACCAGCAAAATCCATAGAGAAGTATTAAGTTTGATTAGGGTTCGCACCTCAATGACCAACCAACAAACATGTTTTTGTAAAGAACTTTTCACGGATATTCATAATATCATTTAATTCATGAGCTCAAGACCGCGAACAAGCAAAATACAATCAGCTGATTCTTGTTAGTTGAAACGGATGAGGTCACATGAAGATTGTTTACACTTGACGATGTGTAATTCCGATGATATATCATGAAGTATGCATATAAAACCCAAAGACTTATTTGAGCCTGAGAGAGAGAGAGAGAGAGAGAGAGAGAGAGAGAGAGAGAGAGAGAGAGAGAGAGAGAGAGAGGAGAACGGAGTAGGAAGAAATGCCAATCCGTCGACCTTCAGTACCAAGAGATGTTGTTTTTGTTTCCATTTCAAGACAAACCATTGACTAAAAAAATTAGTTGCTTCTCTTAATTTAACGTTTAGCTTGTCATTGTAAGTACAATGTCAACAGTTGGTGTGACATTCTACAGTTTCCATGTATTTCAGTGAGGTGGCTCTATAAAGGCGTCCGACATCATCCGTAGACGTCGCAAATAGTAAAATAGCAAACATTAATAATGAGTGAATTATTTTCTACTGCAAACACATTTAAGGAGATGGACAAACCTCAGAGAATTGGTAGGCATTTTCCTTTTCCTCAGCTTTTCTATGACAGAAAACTAGAATAGACGCATCACTAATTTGATACTAATGAGTTTTTTAATTAACAACTGAACAAACCTGAGTATCAATGCCTGGCAGGAGAAGTACAATGAAGAAAAGGATGGCCCATACTTGAGGGAAGGGGAAGTATGTGATAGCTTGTGGGAAGGCAATGAATCCCAACGAGAACCCACCTGAAAAAAGATTTTCGAATTAATGCATAATCCACCATCGTATAAAGGTAAGAAGGGTATCGTGTTTGGTTACACATAAGTGAGTTGCGACAAATAAAAAGCAGAGTTAGTTTTCCTAGCCGACATACCTTTCATTCTCAACATACAACATAATGATACTGAACGCAGGACAATGCAAAACGGTGATCTTGCTCGTTTGTAAAGAACTAATCAACGCATATATACACCACATACATTTTTCTTATGCTTGCTTTTGCACAGATTATAGTCGGCGATGGAATTGAACGGAAGTTACAGGTAATTATTGCAATTAAACCCCACTAACTGCAGGTTTTTCTACGATAAATGCTTACCTGAAGTGATGACGTTGTCAATAGGTATTCCACTTTCGTTGGATAGCACACCAATCACAGAGAAGATCACCAGGCCATTTAATAACCCGTAACACACTGTCATAGCAGTACCGATAGTGGCGTCCCTTTTGGAAGAAAATAGTTTGAAAAAACACACCATCATGTTTGAGTTTGTTTCGGCGATGAGATTGTCTGGATTTATCGGCAATGCACATTTATATGCAATGGAAACAAACATGTCCGATATATATGAGGTTGCTTTAAATTTTGGCAAATCTACTAGATTTTTCTATCACATATCAAAGGTCTCTGACCTAGACCTAAACTCTGGCAACATGCGGTCCAGCATTATCTTGCTGGAAAATTAGGCTATGACGTCTGAGAAGTGGAAGGACATGTGGTTGGAGGATCTGGTATCTGTATCGAACGGCAATTGAGGTTTGGATCCAGGACCACTAAGGGGGAGTTAACTCCATGGGAGATGCCTCCCAAAACCATTAAAGTAGTCCCATCGAATCCATCGCGTTCACTCAGGGCGATATACCCTTTGTCTTCCGTCTGAGCGATACAGATAGAATCTAGACTCGTCGGTGGAAATCTCACGCCTTCACCGACGCATCCAAACCTTTTCGGGCCGTGTCTGCGCATCCAGTGCTGATATGACCGGACGACAATTTTTTCATTTGTAAACAAAGTTTCGAATTTGTGCCTGCCATTTGCTTTTCGCATCATCCAATTATTTAGTGCGTGCTTTTAGATAAGAAAAAGCAGTGTCATAAAAAGGCTTTGACCAAAGAGAATTCGTGCTGTTCACCCCCGGGACACGTGATTACGTGAACTGTGTATTAAGTAAATATAACACGGATATACGTAGGGTATCGTACAACATGGATTAAAAAAAGATATACGAAGAAAGATGGATTAAAATATATATACGGTGAAATACTTATTTAAAACTGAAAGTCATGAGTTGGTTATGATAGATCCTACTTTAAGGTTAACTAATTACATGCATGTATATATTAAAACAAGTTCTTCAACTTTACCGAAAGCAGTTGTCTGAAAATTTATTGTGACTGCCAAACATTGCTAGTCCACCCCAGGCTGGGCCCAGTGTATAGAACGCCATGAACGCTGCTTCTATCCACACCTTGAAAAAATATATATCTTAGCTACGTCAACAAATTTCTCTTTTATTATCCTTTTGAACTTCGGATAATCGGTTGTAACATTCACGTAAACAATTTTTAAAATGTGATACAGAATATTGACTGAAGAAAGGAAAAATCCCCACGACATCAAACTAGTTGAGATGTCTTTCGAGCATAAAATGTCATCCATCCCATACCCTGGTACTTTATAGATGACACAATCAAAACAATCAGTTAATATGCACATAATGTAACAACTATCTGTCGGAATTGGCTTTGTTATATCGGTGTCATGCCTGTTGTGTGAAAAAGAAAGTTGAACATTTGAATGCTACTGAAGACTAATTTTACCGGCATTTATATATACAAATTTTAACTGAACAAACAACAGGTATAAATCTGACGACTTATTGTGGTAATGTCAGAATGTTTAACCAAATAATTAGCATTTTCTTCAAACAAATAATTTGTAAATCGAAACACACAGCCAAGACTTCATTCGAGTTAACGACCATTAATGAGAATGCTTGGGACATTGTGTTGCACATGTTTGTACTTTGTTCAGAGCATCCAGGAAATGCCTGTAGACAATTAAATTGCGTGGAAAAGAACAGCAGTCGCAGGTCAAAGCAATTTTTGCTTTTCGATTGTTTTGAAAGTAAATTTGTACTAGATATTACCATATACAAACAGAAATAAAATAATTTTCTTTACATTCATTAACAAAGAAGAAAATGGAAAAACTAAATTTTTATCCTGTTTCGTTTGCAAAACTTTATCTTTTCTATCGCATGTTTTGTATATGCTTAACATGAGTCGACATCGACTGGTCAGCGCGTTGTCAGTATAAAGAGAGGGGTAGTATGTCATGCTGTCGTTTTCAGGATATTTCATCTCAGCGTGATGGCACTGTGGAAAAAGGTCCATATCTGACCCTATAATTCAGAGGCGCTGTTGTCATATGAATGTTTACCACACGTAAAACTTGTAAAGATAACATTATCATTGGTTCTGCTATTAAGTGATAATAGGATCACTTCAAAAACATACATAAACATGTACATACGAAAACGTAAATTCATATTTTAATGTGCTGTAACACATGATATTCCCTAGCACTGTGACTGCAACATAAGTGTGCATCAAGTATATTGATAATACTTTCAACCAAAGTTTTGAAAGTGTTTGAGTTCCAGAAAATATCAACTTACCCTTGAGTTGGCGAGGTGTTCGAAATCAGGAGTTATAAAATAGACCATACCACTTGTGGCTCCTGGAAGTGTTAGAGCTCTAATCCAGATGATCAAAGTCAGTACCACCGGGGATATTGTTGTGACATACATTATCTATGGATAACATGTAACAATCTGTATGCAATTTTAATATGATGACGATATAACGCGATTTTAACAGGATAATATTCATGATCTATTCACAGATAAACTTCTAAATGAATTCATGGCAATCATTCTGACGCTACCTCTGACGAGTATCGTACACGACGCAAACGACATCGATATAAATATTAATGAAAACAAAAGCCATGATTTAACCTCCTGTATATGCACACAACAAATATACTATCCTGTTGATATATAATTGTATTGTCATGATATCATTCAGACAAGGTATCAGAGAAAGGAGTTAAGTAGCATCCCCTTTAATATGTATATTGTATATGTATTTTTGACGTGTTATATGCTTTGCTGGAAGGGAATCATAGAAATAGCTGCATTGAAAATGAAAAGAGGAAAAGGAATCCGATGGAATAATTCTATGTAAAAGGCATTATTTTACATCGAGGTCTCAAACGAACCTAATATCACCTTTTATACTATAAAGGAAGTCTTATGGCAAACGTTGAAGCAGGCCAATATTAACGTCACATTTACGCCTGAATGATAACATTATTTGTTGTCGCCAATATTGTTGTCACAAAAACAAAGAAAATACCGACAATTCTTAATTCAACTTGCTAAGGGTCAGTCACAACATTTTGGGCAGGCTTTATGAGGTTGGTGCGTTAGGAATTTTGCAGCAAACAGGATCATTTCTGTGTGGCAAGCCAATATTGCGTCGACATGTGCTATGAACGCGTAGTATTTGCATGTGTTCTCCGTGACTGGCGTACCAGAGACGTGGATGACGCATGAGAGTCCTGTGGGAGCTCCTAGCCACATACATACACCAAAGGAGTACCGGTATACCACCTGCGTTGGCGTTGCCCGCAAGGCGGGAAGGCGTATAAACATCAACAAGAAAATAACAACATATCAACATGATAATACCACCTCTGTCGAAGTAGCCCGCAAAACGCGCAGGGCTTCTCAATAAGATCACTATTTTCATTATCCTGCATCTTTTGAAACCCCCTTGTCACGAGTTTGTCCGTCAGTTGACGACTTCTTCATTTCTCAGCCAGATTTCATAGTGAACGCCCTTCTCGTATTCTGATACGATTAAGTCACATTTATACTTGCATGAAGACCGGTTGCTCCTGCATGACGCCAATCTGGCACTGAATGTCTCCGATGCGCATGTACCTTGGCCTCAGCCGGCCATCAGATTACCAACAGGAAGGCAATAACAGACCCGTAACATGCCCTTACATGAAAAACTCGCCCTCCGACCTGTATAATCAAGCTCGTGGCCTGCTTTTTAGGGTATAGAATAAAAAGAAAGTGCATTCTGGTATGTTTGTTAAATTCTGTTTCTGTTCATGCTATAATTATATTATGTACAACCGCTAGCTCACCTACCTTACCAATTGACTGTACACTCTTCACTAACGCCAGCCAGATAATCACGTGACATGCCAGTAGGTACAGAATATATTTCCAATTCAGTCTACCAATGTCGTCAATACCAGAAGATAAATCCAGGATCTTGTAACTGAAATTATAATGGTATCTCAGGAATTGTGATTACCCCAGGTAAATACCTACTGTATGTTTCACATTATTAGTGGGGCAGATTGCTGAAACAATCTTTTACTTTTACTTACACCATATTTGGCGCAAAAGTGCTTCAGAATCTACTCTCTTAGAAAAGTACGTTATCAACTTGAAAATACAAAATGGCCGCCAATTTTCAAAATGGCCGTCATTCGAAGCAGTTGTAAACGCTGTTTGAACTATATTTTGATTGAATAATCCTATTTTGATGGTTTATACATCGAATTATATGTTTTCCAGTGTGACAAATCCTATTTTGCATATAGAAAATCAAAATTACTGAATATTATGATGATATAATAGGGATTACACTCTGTCAACATATAGGGTACGTAATGTTAACTTCCATTCTGTGTTTTACAAAAAATGTGAAGAAAATACTTATTTTCTTGTGTGCTGTTTGAGTCAGGAAACGAATTGCTGTTGATGTACATCTTCATAGGTTCTTCATTTAGTCCTCACATTTGAAGGCACACAACTGTGTATACTTCATGCTGAAGCGATAGCATTTGTATCGTCCTCGGCATTCAGTCTTGCAGCCTCATTTTGTCAACTGCTCACAAGTGTGAGCAACGGGTGGAAGGGTTGTCCACAGAACTTGTCAGACCTCACCATCTTTTTGTCAGCCCCAGTTGACAGGACTTTCAGTGTGCATTTTGCAAACTGTTACCTGGCCCCATTTGCAGGCAGCTTGGAAGGCAGATCGTTTCACATGCTGAAAGAGGGATGCGCTTGTCGGTGGAATGGCATCATCAGACCTTTGCTTCCGAGCAAACAAGTCCACTCTTGTCTCATCAACCTTGCCTGTTGTATTGTGCTTGTCATACATGGTGATGACAAACTTCTCAAGGATGTTGATGTCTGCATCGTCTATGATAGTTGAGGATTGATTGAGCTTTTTGAAGACAGGACTCACTTCAGGGCAAAGCTATCATGCTTGCCATGCAGTGTTTTGCCTTTACCACGAAAAGCTGACACAACATCACAGCCAGAGAAGGCGTGAAAAAACAACATACCACCGGTTTTTTCGGGGCTAAGATTCACCACCATATCATGAATTGGCAACCCACTAATGGACTGACCCTGACCAAATTCTACCCAAATCATTTCTAAGCCTGCGTCCTGAAGAGTCGCAAAAAAATTACCTGATTGCAACAACAAGAATATCTGTATCACATGCCTTAATCAACACAGACTTCACCTGTTGATTGGCTGCATGAAGATCATGTGTAAAGATTCTGGAGTCAGCTTCTTCGTGGTTGCAAGGACTTAAGCCTTCAAGGCTGATGGGTTTGTTTGAAAGAGCCTGTTCTCTTTTGGACACAACTATGACATTGTCGGGATACATGGTCACTATCTTGTCAGCTACGAACCCAAAGAGCTCAGTCTTGTTGTCGCCGTCTCGCAGAAAGCTTTTCCAGTTGGATGGTAGTTTGATTTTGTCTGTCACTCTACGTCGATCTCCCTTTCCTCTCTTTGACCTTGTTTCAGCCTTCAGTCTTGAAGTCCAGTAGACATCAAAAACGATGTCTGTTCGCTCATAAGTTATTGAAGAGTATGTCTGGATCTTTGGAACTACATATTGGACAGCATACTCCTCAAAGGTCTTTGATGTCTTTGGAGACAATGAATACACAAGAGAGGAACCATGAAAGATAAAAGCATCACATTTGGGTTGTGTGTCAGGAGGAGAAATGGTAGCTTCCAGAATGTTTGCAAGCTTAGACTTCTGACAAAAGTGGAGTTTCTCTGTGTCACTCAGCGCTGCAGGTAAACGCTGATTCTCATGCTTAAAGATTTTATGTCTGCCCCATGCTCAATGATACCTTCAAATCGAAGCAAAGCTGGAGGCAGTGAACCATACACTGAAGTCTCAAATATATTGCCCTCAATTTAGACTTGTATTTGACCATGTGCCTGAGCAATATCCGAGTAGCATTGGTGACAATAATGGCATCAGTATAGGATGATGCTTCTAACAAGACTGGACCAACGTCTTTTTCAAATGTATATCTCACCCTTTCTTGTAGGCTACAAGTCCTAGTATCTCTGCCAAAAGCCTCTCTTTTAATCGAGTCGAGTTCACGTCAGGTATATCTTTCCCAAACAGCTCAAGTCTCTCCCTGTAAAGACTAACCAATTCTGCAAGTCGGAACAAAGTGGGCTCATTACTGTCGTTTTTTTTTTTTTTTTTGTCTCATTGACATAGGACAGAAGTTCAGAGAACACCAAAGGAGGGGCTTCCTTTTTTTGAGATGACTGGAGTTTTTCTTTATTCTCTCCTGCAATGTGTGCCCTCTCTCTCAGGGTTGTTAAGCAAGAACAGTGGTGTTTAAGTTCCAGGACCACCACATCTCGACCACTCATTAAAACTAGAAGCTTACCATCATTAAGTTTACGAGCACATCCATTGAGCCTCTCATTTAGCTGCATGGTCAAGGCTTGTCGCAGCTGTGATGTTGGTTCCATTTTTTCACATAAGAAATACCACCGCACTTCAATACTAGTCCTTCACATTTTTGAGTGTCCTTGACCAGGATCATTCTGAATTTCAGCTGATCTTTTATTGGCACGCTCGAGTTTGCAGTTGCTAATAATTTGGCGATAATTTTGGTGATACGTTGTACTGTTTCGCCTCAATGTGTCTAATCTGATGGGCAACATGTTGGTTGCCTGAAATTGTGGTATGATTTTGGCTATCATGGAATAGCCATCAGAACTACACTCATAACGGGTAGGGGGAGACTTCAACTCCTCTTTCGTATCTGTCTGACAGAATCAACACTTCCTCCAGTCAGTTTAGGTCGTGCAGCTCAATGGATTATTGGCGGACATTTTGTGTTATACGGTTAAAGGCCGAGGGTTTATCCTTTTACCATCCAACCATAAAAAACATCAAAGCACATTAAAATATGGGATTAAACTAGGTTCAAGCATCTGTGCCCTACACCTAGCCCGTTACCCTTGGCTCGGCTCTCCCGCGCTGTCACATCCTGTCAATTCAGGTGCGGCTATCTAAGTACAATACTACAACTAACTAAAACTTCCAGTTGAGTTATATACAGTGGCTTATTAGATAGCATTTGGAGGACTAAAGTATACTACAAACTACAGTGAGTACACCACTTCAACAGTTTACAGCTAGTAAACTTCAAGCCGACAGTGAATCCCATGCTGAGTCTCAAAGCAGTGATGTTACCAGTGTGCCCTGGTTGTGCTTTGACATCAGTCTTATGAAATAATACAAACCAATAGAGCCTGACCGCAGCATTTTAATGAATGAACATGGATGTTGTCCTTCAACTTAATGCAATATCTGTGATCAGACATCTTATGCAAACGCTAATTTTGAGTCACGTAATAGCCGCCATCTTGAAAACGGACGGCCATATTGGAATTCAATTGACAGCTTTGAGTTTTTCCAGTCAGAATGCTCTCATTTTGATGTTTAGGTCATTAACACATATCTCTTTAATCAAGTTTTACTTCAAAAACCACTTGTTTTTTTCATTTGACGAGGCGGCCATCTTGAAAAGTGGTGGCCATCATGGATTTCCAGCTGGATAACGTACTTTTCTTAAAAAGTACATTCTGAACATCATTTGTGCCATATGTGGTGCTTGTATCACAAAGTGAAAGATTCTTATGGAATATTGTCTTAATCTGCCCCACTATATGGGCGTCTGTTTTAGTTAAAGAGAACATTACCGATACTAAGAAATTTTATTAACGTGTCATCTCAGAGCCCCCTATTTGTTATATATAAATGTTGTTGGAATTGCCAGTACAACATAGAGATGTTCCACTTGAAGTGACTTCGCTGTTTCTCCCCTTATCAGAGATTTATAAGAAAATGTCTGACTTTGCATTTTGAAACATAGTCGTCCTCCGAGCATCAAGTTGACTTGAATTTTGGTTCACACCTTCGTTGAATTGTATCAACAAATAATATGTTTGTTCCTTGTCTTTTCCGTAAATTGTAAACAGATTTTACTATAGATGGCCATAACTACTTGGTCACTCAACAGATTGTGTTATTTGACTATGGTCAAATGGTATGACTAATTTGTAGGATCTCTTTGTTGTTTCATAAACAGTTTCTATGGCAGCACAATACTGACCTCCTATTTTTACCAAATTTGGTATACATGGGAATAAGAGGATGCCAAACACCACGTTATGTGTTTCCTTGCCATGGCAACCATGCTATGGCAAATTATTTCCTTTTATTGGATGCAATTTAGATATTGTCTTTTTTTTTTTACCTAATTTTGTATGTGGAGGTATTAAGAAATGCCAAAAATTAGTTTTCAACATTTTTTTTTTTTTTTTTTTTTTTTACATTTTCATGGATTTCTTTTTTACCATATTTAATATAAAAAGGTCTTTACATCTTACATCCGCGGGATAACATTTGTCCTCATGGTGATATTTCTAATTTGCCTTGGAAACAGAATTGAAAATGTTTCTCTCAAACACTTTAACAACAGTATGATTTAAGTGGCTTTTGGCGGCAGATTCATGTTTAAACGCCCTAATGAAACTGAACTGATATGCCTGTCTGTATTCATAAATGGCAACACTAAGTTTTGAAAAATGGAAAATAATAATCTGAGGTATTTTAATACGTGTTCCCGAAGTGCACCTCTCAAAAATTGCATTGTTTTTCCTGTTTAAAAATGTTCAGTGACATAAATAGTGCAAATTTGATTTGAATGAAAACAATGAATCGAATCTAATACAAGATTGACTTCCCAATGTTATTGTAAGTGAAACATCGTTTTCCAACACGGTTTGTTATTGCTTATCGTCATCTTTGTTAGAATTCATTACATTTAAAAGGTGTAAATCTTTCCTAGTTAGAATTTCATTGATTGCTTTTGAAAAACAAAAGATACAAAATCATCTCCTTATGTTCTTATGAAAATAGTGCTCCCCAATTTACCATTTAAACAAATATGTGATATTTAATTTGCAAAATTTTGCAAGATCGATTTGCTGAAACGTTCGGGTGGCCCTGATTGCGTCATAACATGTTTGCTTTGTTATAAGCCCACAGAATGAAATATTTGTGTTAATTTCAAAATCATCAGATGAAAAGTCCAATGGAATAGTAAAATTTCAACTCAAACAGAAATTTTAGTTATCAGAATACATCCTTGTATACCCAATACTCTGCAAACATATATGGTTCAGTGACCTTTCAGTTCCGGATTTCTCGATGCAATATATCTAGACAGTTTGGCTGGGAATATTTCTACTTATTTCGCTTGTCGAAACTGACCACAGGAGAAATATGTTGTTGCTAACAATAGTTTTACAAATCATTAGAATGAGGTCTTAAAAGGTACAAAACAGCCAGGAATTTCGCAACTTACAAAGCTTCATAGCTAAAGATTTGGTTTTTGTGACCATAGAAAAGTATCTAACTTGGGTGAAATAAAAAACATATCCTTTGACCATTCGTTGTAACATCTCTTTATCCCATTATTAATTAACTTAATGTTACATATAAATATAATACCTTCGCAGGTGCTTTTACCCAGAAATCTGTTGGTCATTGGAATGCTAAAATCACACTTAAAACCAGCTGTCTTATCCTTTTGATGTATTTGATATTAATAAAAATTTGTGGAAATTCAATGAAATTATGACATAGTACATAAAGCATATGTAATATTGGTATTTAGCTATAATGTATAAAAAGTGTACCAACTTCCAAAACTCTTCCACGGACGACGTATGTACAAGTCTAGAACCATTCCCTCCATCAGTAACCAAAGTCACGTGTGCAGAATACGTCGACTGGAAAAAAAGATATATTGGTTTCAGTCATTGCATTTAGTATGGAACACGACAGTCGACAGCATGTCTTCGGCAGTGTGATAGCACTATAAAGTCGACTTCGTTGTGCGCTATTGCAGGGATATTTACTTGAACATACCGCAGCCTTCTTACCCAAAAACACAGGCACTTGGTTCACAAAAATAGGGAGGCCCTCCTTAAATGATCTTAAGTGTTGATTGTACGATAATACTTAATTTAAAAAACTGTACCGGTTCTGTGCTGTAGTTGAAGATGGAACTGGCGTTGGTAGTTAAGTATCTTGCATAGTGGCTAGACTGGATACAACCGTTAGTATTCCATTCGTTGTCGCATGTTGTCCATGGAAGCTCAGTTGAACACGAAGCGACAATATACTGAATAATCCATGGTTTTTGTATCATAACGTAGGTTCCAACGATCCAGTTAATGATGAGAAAGGTTATTCCAAGCCCTGCGAAAATACGACGTTGATAGAATATTTTATCTTTAATGTCATCTAACTAATCATGATGGCCGTTAAAGGAAGCCTTAAATTAAATGAGATGGTAATGCAAAGGTATGAAAGACGGATAAAACCGTCTATCCGTCATATAAATTAATCAATTAAATTCAAAAACGCATTCTCGTCCGCTTTATATTCGTATGAAATTGTTGGATTTGTCAACAGACTCAAAAAATCGCCACAGAAGTGTTTACATCAATTTTATCAATGCACTTAGCTGCTCTGAAGATAAAAAAGTGCAAAACATTTGGACCGTTGCAATTTGTATTACTTGCCATTATTTGAATGCAACGTTTAAATTCATGTAACTCGGGATACAATGCCACACGCGCGCGCGTACTAGGTACAGCGAAACTGAATCCGCGCGGAAAAGACCAACACCGTCAGACGCGGTAGGTTCTCGTTGTTTTACTTGTATTATTTGTACTTGCTTTATAACCAAACCATATTGGGAAATGTCGAAGTAGTACAATTGTAGTAACACTCAACGCCCCAAAAACTAAAATTTGTGCAAATTGAACATACATCATCCGCACACACGCAGAATACAGCGAGATAGGATCATTTTAAATCGACAGTGTTTTATAACACTGGAGACGCCTTTGTTTAATCTTTCAAACATTTAGTTTCACACTTCAAGAGGCGAGTGATGGAGTGATGTGCGTGGAGCATTAAAACTTACCTGTTCTCTGATGAAAACGTAACAGGTTCGGATGCATACGGCTAGGTACCCGTGTAACAAACACAACACTTAAAATTTACCTGAGTATATGTTTTCGTTTACAAGGTGAGATAAATATAGACGTAACGAAAAAAGAATTTCCCTTCCGTCGGTGTGAACCTTTAGATGATTCTTTGCCTAGACAAAGAGTGGTATTCATTTGATTTTTACATACATAACGCCAATATGAGTGTCTGTACACTAAAAATGGTCATTTGAAGCACTTTGCAAAAAATAAATAAATAAATAAATAAATAAACAAACAAACAAAAAACAAAAAAAATCCCTTTTACGAGTATATGTAACTATTCAGTCTGTATCTGATATATCTACATGTGTCTTGCCTAGAGATGTATGACCAAATAAGGAAATCTACTTAGCAGTACTCATAAATGTTTTTAAAATATATAAACCCTATTACACATGTATTTATACGTCAGTTCTAAAATTACATCAAGCACGATAGAATCGCCTATCTGTAAACGTCACTATAATTATCACCTGACTATCTATGTAAATGTAAAATGACTATTTTAACGGTTTTTTTTTTTTTTTTTTTTTTGGGGGGGGGGGTGGAGGGTGTTGGTGGGGATCGTTATAATAAGTCGGTCAACAGTCACAACTGGGGTTGCACGAAAATGAATTCTAATACTGAATCAGACATATATTCGAATAATGATTTCTATCAAATTGACATCCCCATCTTTGAGCAATATTTTTTAATGCAATTGTTTGCTTATCTGTATTTTACAAATAGGACGTGCAATATATTTAATTCCCTCTGTTCTTTGTAATACAAGAGCATGATATTACATTTCAAAATTGGTCAAATAAGCAATAATGAAGTATAACCTTTATCTGTTTGTCGACAATTGAGAAACAAGCCATCAGCTCGCATTAATCATTTCTGTTGGCATAAATGTAAGCATGCTAAAGGTCTAAAACTCGGAGGAAACCCCATATCTTTTCACGTCCTCTCGAGTGCCACAAAAAAGGGGGCAAAATGTGTTTTCTCATAGTCATCTTCCATATGATAATAAAAGTGATATTTTCAATTTCCCTATTGTGAATTCACCATTTCTGGATAGCAATATCTCTGCATACCCATCCTGTAGTAATTACATGTCGCAGTTGATTCGGCCTTGATCCCGTGATCACAATTTCCGTGCAAGAAGTCGGACAAACTCGTAAAACGTTGTTTAAAATGATGCAGGTTGATAAAAATTATATGGAAGTATTCTATATCTGTATACCATGTGAACCATAAGCAGTTATCTTAGCAAAGTCATTTTATAAAGAAATTTACTTTGAAATACGAAGGTATAGTAAGAAATATGTACACTGTTCCTAGATTGTGATAAGGTGGGCGATCAGATGTTGGTTTACATATAGTCAACAGTCTTTCTTAACTTATGTTACACTTGTTTGTTCTTCCATATCAATATTTGCTTTCAATTTGCAGATAAAAATATCCCCAGGAAAAACTAATATGCTTCTTAATTTGTGTTCAAGGGCTATTGCGTTTGTTATTGCATCAAAACGTCGTTATTATAATGTTATACCTGGAGTTACTCCACTAAGCTCACTCAAATTATCCTAAACATTCGTTCATGGTCAGGCTTCAACGCGTACTTTTCATAGATGACAGTGATGTGGAAGATGGTACTAAGAAGGGATAATATTTCATAGCCGACTGTTTACATGCAGTGCTGTGGATGATGATACATAGGACAGAGAATGTTTTATAGCTGATTGTTTACTTACAGAGCTGGAGATATTGATACGGTTGGGATAACATATAACGCACCAAATTCTTCTTGCGCAGATAGGATAGCACATTTTGTGCGTTTGGTAAAAATGGTTGGCTAATATTACGAATTGAAAACTGAGTTATTACTCAATAGCGATCACTTCGGATATTCTTCAATAAAACATTTATAAAAAATGATAATCACCAACCTCTAAACAAAGGGCAGAAATCCCATACACGCCATGTCCCTTTTCCAGCAAATTGTGACGTCATTATTTCCAGGAAATATAGTGGTATGCCACAAACCAGCATGAAGAAAATATAGGGGATCAAAAATGCACCTGTAAAATAAAATCATCGACCAAAATATTATTGATGCTACCTTAAGCGATACAGTCTCTCAATATTCAATACATATCGGTAATTAATCTAACAACCATGTAATATGCATATATTATCTGTTATTGATAATTCCACATGTCATTCCATTTATATTAATTCAATTAATTAGAAATCCTTAGAGAAAATACCAAAAAGAGTATTTCTTCGTATCAACTTCCCGATTTTTAAACTAGTTCGTTACTAAAGCGAATTGGTGATCTTTGCTTGTAATGCTTTTGTTTCGTCACTATTTTTCCTGATGTATGTTTCTTATCAATTAAATTTTCGTTTTAAGTCAATAGACAAACAAAACCACGTTTATCTGTAGACACTTCTGTTCTGACTAATCTTAGTTATCAAAATAAATTTCGAATTTCAGTAATATTTCTTACCCCCTCCATTCCTGTACGTGAGATATGGCACCCTCCATATGTCTGTCAAACCTAAGGAATAACCGAGAAGAGAGATGATAAACTCCTTTCTAGACGACCATTTTACTTTGCTTGATTCTGCCAGCACTACTTCGTTTTCTTCGCTAGCCTGTCTGCCTTGGTTATCGTTCATTATGACAGGTTATTCATTAAACACATGTACACGGAAACTGGTGAACAGGTTTGCATCAGGATGTGTAGTTACGCTAACGGCCAAGCGTGAGATATTAAAACGTATTCGACTTCAATTATATACGTATTAGATTGTTGAAAGATATCGGACAAACCACGTGATATTGTTATAAAGAGGAGGAATCTGATTTAGGTTCGAGTTTCATACTTTCATTAGTGATAACACACTACTAAGCTTTAAATGCAAACGAATTCATTATTTTTATTTCCACAAATGTACAAATTCGCGAACATATCATACATCAATTGGTAGATCTATAAGGAGAGTTCTTTATTAGTTATATTAAATGTTGAAGGCAATATTACGCTAAGTTTTTTTCCGGGACAAATGACATCTGCATAAGTCTGGAATGGTGTTGTTGTCCATCGTCCGCGCAGATAGATGTATTACTGGGCGCTGTTTCTTGATGAAGCAAACTCCCTCTGAACGACTATACAAGACCATGGCTTAGAGGTTTAAGTATCTTCCGACGTTCTTTGATATCCAAGATTGTAAAATAGAAACAAACGTGAATATCACTTTTAATACCAAGTTAGAATTAGATACAGCAGAGAAGCACGTTGTATTCAGTCATTAGGTCTATAAGATACAGACTAAATAACAAAGGTCAATTTATAGACATATTTCTGTACAATAAAGGTTCACACATACTTAGGTTTTATGTACATGATGGTTCAGCTTATTTGTAAATGTATGGTAATTAAGTCAGGTGATCACTGATTGGTCAGTATAATTGGACCCTGTGGGGCTTCGGTGATCCCAGTTTGTCCGACCTGGGGTCAGTTTGCCCCTGCGGGGCTATTGAAAACCCCACTTCAGCAGCATTTTTCACACTTCGACGCCATATTGATTTTTTTATTTTCTCTAGAAGTTTTCTTCTTATTTACAGCCTATCTTTATTATTCACCTGGATTGATTTTACAACACGTCCCACCAACCACCCCATACTACCGCCCTTTAATTGGTATGTGTGAGATTTTATTTCTTGTCTTCTTAGTTTGATACCGGCTGTGTTTGTACAGGGACGTCCCTGGTTTGTAAAGATAGTTCTTATCAAATTTTCTGTATATAACACACTGTTTGTAAAGGTAGTTTTCATCAAGATGTATTTATGTGTATATAATTATGTTTGTAAAATTGTTATTCATAAAGAATATGTATGCATATTAGATAAGCAGAGTCCCGGTGCTTCCCTTTTGGTCATTTTGCCTATCCGCCGGGCGCAGGTTTCCTCTCAGAGGTTTTTCTTGAAGTCCACTATGATCGCGAAGAAGGGGTTTGAAAGTTTGGTTTTTACTCGAACGTAGGCGTAGTTTCGCTCACCTTTTCTGCAAATATGTTACTATGAAAGTTTTATATGTACATGTTAATTAAACAAGGTTAAAATAAATGGCTTCCCTATTCTAAAAAAGAGTATGCCAAGATTTTACCGCCAATTTGATTGTTTGGTATTCTTTCCTTGACATTTAGAGCAAACAGAGCTCGAGGTATGGATCATTTCTTTTATACTTTAGCAGGACAAAACGATATATACCATCGTAATTTATAGTAAACGAGTTTTTTGGTCGCCCGAGCACACATATTTCCGCTCTCTAAAATGAGAAAGTATACGCCATAAAGACTAATTAACGCAGTGTCTAGTGTTATTTCAAAACTTGTCGAATTAATCAACAACGATCACCATTAAATACGCAAGTGATCGCTATTAGTCATAACTTTACGAGTTTTCCGTTTAATTTCCGTAATATTAGTCAAACATTTAATGTGCGATGCTACATCACAGTTGCACGCCAGATACTGCAAGGTGTGGGTGATCTGTGTCATCACAACGGTAGCTTATCCGTTTTCTATCAGATTTGATTGAAAAATCGATCACGTGAAAAAAGGATCTTAGATTCGTTTTACATTTGATATGTAATTTATGAAACTCGCGAAAGGCTCACTGAAGTGAAACATACCAGATTTGTTTCATAAATTCCCATATCAAAGGAAACTCCTGTATATACATGTATTAATATTGTCGGAAGCTCAAACATCTACTTCTTGTGCCAATCAAATTTTACTTGTAATGCTTGCTAACCACTTTAACAATCAGATTGAGGGTGTTGTTGAAAACTTTATTGATGTTAGGGATTTCGGTTATCTAGACTTTGCTGACGCTCAATGGAAAAGCCAGTGACAGCAATGCAGGAGGGGATGTTTATAGTAAGGAATGTTAGAATGGATGCAAGGAATTTATATTATTTTGAGCGTCTTGCTCTAAACCACCATTACAAACTAACGGGACTATTCCAAGTAATCAGAGCCTGAATTTGTAGCTTTAGCATTATGCCTGATAGTGCCATGACATGTTCTGAAGATGTAACTAAACTTTCCTCTATATGTCTCCCTGGGCAATGACTTAAGCCTTAATGAGTTAAGCTTTCATTCCGGAACGTTGTCCGTAAGTTTTGACATAGTTCCAATGTAGTGTGGTCAATATAGGAAAAGTGTCTGGGTTATATTCAACATTGTCCATTATTTGTTATTATATTGTTTTTGTTTTCTTATGTTATTGTGTGGATACTTTAGGTGCTATAAAGTCACATGAAAATCCCGAGACAGAATTCATTTCTTTTAACATCACGAACAGAAAACACCCCCAGTAGAAGATAAAAAGCTGAATCTTGGTGGTGTTAGGACTCAAAATTTTGCAGACATTCACTACTACGAAAACCTACGTCACTAGGCTTCCGTATAAACCCTGCCAAAACGACTTACAAACCATCGGTTTGTCAGAACGCCCATAACGATCAGCACATTTAACAAAGAAAAAAATGGTCGAAACTCCACATTCTCCAGTTCTGGTGCCTCTACCATTGTTGGAAAAAGACAAAACGAAGAACATTGGACACCGATGCTGCCAACTCCCAGCAAAAACAAAACCATTTAATTTTCATGGAAACACCAGAGAAAGTTTTGAAGAGAAGTCAGACATACTTATCATCGACGTTAGTCCCAGCAAAAAGATGAATATGGGGCTCATGACTCCCAAAACAGTTATATGAATGAAGTAAGGGTCAAATGACTTATTAATCACTTATTTGGTTTATACACAAAGACTAGATTGAGACCGAAAACATCAAAAGAAAAAAAGGCGAAACCCAAATGGAAGAGAAAGAAATCCATTTACAAATTCAAATAAATTCCCACGTGAGAAGCATCCATTTTTGGGAGAATATCAACAAAAATGGTGTGGAGAAGTATTCAAGTGGCTGACAAATCCAAAAGACGAGATTTACCTGTCTATATTTTTTTTATATTATGTAAGGGTTAGGATTGATTTTCAGAAACAAAATGATGTAGTCTCCAAAGAGACCAACCTCCTCTAGTAACAGGGTTGTTTTGGTCACTTTAAAGTGATGGCTTCATATATTTTCAAAATTCTGTAACCCATTCCAATTTCTAATGCTTGAGTACACCACGTATCTCGCATAATATTTGGGTCGTCATGACAACAAGGGTCTTTGCTCTGTTTCTCTGCACAGTTGTGACACAGTGCAAATGGCCAGACTGAATCAGTGAACAATGGACATTAAATCTTTTGTAATAATGGTGGAGTGTTTGAGAGGGTATTTGTCATATTTGTTTACAAATGGATACAACAAAGTTAAATCAAAATACCGGAAATGCATTTTTCTCCATCGTGCGCTTTGTAGTGTAATGGTCTTTCCACCCCCAATGAATCAAGTCTCTCTTGTAAACCGAGATTCTCGACAAATTGTCTAATGCATTCATGGCTTTGAAATCATACTCCCATATACAAACATAATTCATTTGATATACTTCGCTTTCCCTTAAGTAGGATTATACAATTCATTCAATGACAAGCCCATCCCAAACTTGCGCTATATTAATAATATCTACAAAACAGTCGGTGCGGTAATTTGAGTCCGGAATGTGTCATTCACTCCCTTTCAGAGCGTGACGAACGTGAATTATATCTTTGCGAGCGGAGAACTAACAAATCTGGATTCTTTTGTGAATAAATTTACAAGTATCCGTCTTGTTTCAAATGTAGGCAAACTAGTCTGTCATTATATTGTTTTGTCGTAGTTTTGCCTCCCATTATTCCTTTACAAACTTGGTCCTGTAAACTCTAGAACATCCCTCGGATGTCTGCCCAGGCATCTGCACCTTCCCCTCGTCCCCAGTAATAGAAGTTTTTTGAAAGTCAAACTCACCTTTCTCAAAATATCAAATCGCGCCTACAATTATTCACGAGTTCTCTTTGAAAATGGAAATTCCTTTCCCAACATTGAATCAGACCCATAATAATGTAAGTCAGGATAGGGGCCGCAGTAATCTGATTATGTGTTCTGTTAAAGAAATAAGGGAGATAACCCTTTTTCAAGTCAATAAACATGAAAGCATCTGGTAATTGTATTGGTAGAAAAAATAACAGAATCTATAAATCGAAGGTTGAGTCCCTCTTTATATAGCTGTTGACAGTTTTTTGAACCCGTAGAAATAATGTTTTCGGGTCATAATGAATTATCTTAGATATTCCAATAAGAAATACACATCATATCCCTTCATACTACACGGCTCATATGTGAGACGTTGTCTACACCATCCCAAAATGGCCCATGTACCACTTGGCTCGTCATCATTAAGTGGTGCTGATGATGAAAGGGGGGTGTTCCCATCATTAAGTTTACCCGTGTTCTTGATGGTTTAATCCTGTTTGTCCCAAAACTGAACAAATCTATGTCCTGTTTGTCCCAAAAAAATTATGTACACAAATAGGGCAGTGTGTTGTTATAACATTTAAGATACCTGTGTGTGTTGTTTTAACAGGTAAAGAACTTGTCCAAAATTTTGTACCGGTAAACTTACACAGGTAAACCGTAAAGCCATTTGCAACATTTTGAAAAAATCAAATACAAATATTATTACAA